GGGTATGTGTCGCTGAACAGGGTATACCAGTTTTCAAGGACTTGACTCTTAAACGTGGGGTACGATTTCACTATAAGCGTCTTCAACAGCGTCTCTTCTTGGACCGAATTCCTTAAAAAGAGTGTAAAGTATGGCAATGAGCAGTCTAAATGAATGGTACCAACGATACTATCTTATGCCATGATCCCAGTTTAAAAGATACTTTATTGTGTCTGCGAAACGAAATGAATCACGGTCATGAAATTAGAGATCTTTCGTCTAAAACAAGGAAGAGAAATAAGCGAGGTCAGGGTTTACTAAAAATACTCCAACTTCCATCAAATGTCCCCCAAGGGTGATCAAAGTCTAAATGTTTCAGCAATCAACGTTAAATAATCGATTGTCAGTGACTTGATAGACCATGATGCGCGACACAGATCCAACAGAAAATCAAAAATCTCTTCCGTATCTGTAGTTCTGTTCAGGCCAGGACGTCAACAAAAATACATAAAATTTATACGTGTGAGACGAGTACAAGCCACTCGAACGACTTCTTAAACGCTAAAAACCATGCAAGAGAGAAACCTTTGCTCGTAGGGTATAACCAGCCAGAGGAGCACGAAAGAGAGTGATTCCTTTCCTTGACAATTAACAGATATCGAAATAATTCCACGTCTTCTTGTAGCATCTCTAACCTGCTTGATGTCCGCTGTCGATGCTCGTGTTCAGTTTCAGGAGTTCACTACTTACGGCTAAAATTCAGTTTTAAGTTTTCTTTTTGCAGAGTTTTAACTTGAATAATGTTACAATATAAAGCAGCTGACTTTCACTTAACAACTGAATCAAACTAAAGGCATAGCCCCTCAACAACATGCTAAGAAATGTTTTCTGTTTTGTTTTGTTTTGTTTTTTTAAGCCCCGGCAGCTCTAAATGAGATGCATATTTTCATTCGGCAACTCTGTTCGTCTTTACAATGAACCCATCACAAAGCCTTTTGCTTAAAACATACACAAATTTCTCAATCTCCAGCTAATGAAATGCATTTTATAAGGCGACAACTCTGATTTTAGATCGTATTTTATCCGCATCATTGAAAAACTCTTTCCCAGCATGAGGCAACACACAAAAGTTGCAAAAGTCACGCGATTCTTCGCGACATTTCCGGGTATCAGTACTTGTAAAAAGTTGCATATCGCTTACCTCTTCTTCTAACAAACAATGCGGAGTTTCGCTGTGGTTATCACAAGTTGAAATCTTTTTGCTCAGTGAACAAGCATCTGAAAAGTTGACTCGTCACAGCAACAAAATAACTTTGAGTTTATGCGATAGCACTGCACCATTCGGGGCTTCTCTCTCTTTAATCCGCCAACATATTCAGTACAGTTGATGGCAGTGTTCGTCTGGTGATAGCCGTAACTAAGTTTGGTTTATAACGGAAGATGTTAACATTATTGATCAAACCCAGGGAGGGGTGGGCAGTCCCTTATTTGGCCTAGCCAGGTATGTGTCATTTGCTGAACAGGGTCTGCCGGTTTTCAAGAACTTGACTTTTAAACAGGGTATACAACTTTATGATTTAGAGTCTTCAACAGGATGTCTTTTTGGAACGGAAGCCTTAATTGAAAAGAGTATGAAATGTGGTATGGAGCAGTCTAAATGAGCGATACCAACAATTGTTTTTCGAAAAAATCTTATTCCATGGTACTAGTTTAAAAAATACTTTATTCTGTCTGCGAACCGAAATGAATCAGGGTCTTGAAACTAGATCTTTCGTTTTAAACAAGGAAGCGAAATCAGATTAGCGATTTTTGTCTTAAGGTCAGGGTTTGTCACCAGCAGTTAGTGCTATTTTCTAGAGATTCTCGACACGTCGAATAAAGTTCACTGCTACTTCAGTTGAAGGGCTCGCAACACACCTCTACCCAAGCTTCAAAGTCTAAATATTTCAGCAATCAAGCCCTAATAGACATCAGTGTGAGTAGGATACGGAACTGTAGCTTTCCAAGCTCCTGAAGTGTTGGCCAAATTTTGTGACAAAAAACTAAGGGAAAAAATAAAGTGGTAAAGGAAACTCATTGTTCAATTACTGAAGGCTGAGAATAGCAAGTTGAGGAGAAAGGATGATTTTATTTATTTACCCGATTTAATAACGAAAGTCTCTCATAGTTGCACTTTTTTATTTTACAATATACTGGATTGTAAACTTGATTTAATTTTCATTTTTTCCTTTTCTCTAGTCTTGTATATAATATACGTCACGTATAACCACTGTTCGCCTCCAATAGCTATCTGGAAACTGCGGCCAGTGGAAATTCTTTGTTTGTAAAATTTGAAATAGTCAACAATCAAAAGGTCAACAGTGTTGTTCCGTTAAAGGACGTCAACGATAATACATAAAATTTGACCATACGCAGTGATTTCTTTTACTTTTTTTCTGAGTTATACCTAGCCAGAGGAGCACGAGAGAGAGCGATTCCTTCTTGAACATTTAACAGACATCAAATAATTATTCCACGTCTTACGGCTTCTCCTCCAAGATGCTTGATGACGACTGAATTGCGCAAGACTATTACGAGAAAAAATCCCTGTAATGTAAGCCAACAACTTTACCTGCTTTCTTTTTCTCTCCTTTTTTTTTCAAAAACCAACGTGAACATACGTGATATGAGTAACTGCACAAAGTCCGGTGTACAATTTCAGTTTCGCGGTTCATGCGATAGTAGCACCATTCGAGGGTTTTCTCTTTTTCTTTCCCCTTCCATGTACAGTACAGTTGATGGCACTGTTCGTCTGGTGATAGCCGTAACGAAGTTTGGTTTATAACGGAAGATGTGAACATATTGATCAAACCCAGGGAGGGGTGGTTAGTCCCTTATTTGGCCTAGCCGGGTATGTGTCATTTGCTGAAAAGGGAATACCTGCATGTTTTCAAGGTGTTGACTCTTAAACAGGGTATACAATTTCGCTATAAGCGTCTTTGCTCAATGAAGAAGCATCTGAAAAGTTTACTCCGCTTTACAGCAACAAAATAACTTCGAGTTTTGAGAAATGCCGCCTGCTGCCCAACACGACTAAATTGCGCAAAACTATCACGACTATCTCCCTAAATTAGTAAGGCCCTGTGCCTGAGGTATAAGACATGAGAATTTAATAAAGTTCATTGCTTTATTATTATTATTATTATTATTATTATTATTATTATTATTATTATTATTATCACGAGAAAAATCCCTGTTAATGTAACTGAGCCAACAATGAACTTTATCCGCTTTCTTTTCTTCTTTTTTTTTTTTTTCAAATGTCAACTTCAAGCGTACGTGATATGAGTAACTGCACAAAGTCAAAGTGCAGTTTCAGTTTCATCGTCCATGAGATAGCAGCACCATTCGGGAGTTCTCTCTATTGCTTCCTCTGCCATGTTCAGTACTGTTGAGGGTAGTGTTCGTCTTATGATCGCAGTAACAAAATTTGGTTTATAACAGAAGATGTGGGCATTATTGCTCAAACCCGGGGGAGGGGTTGCCATTCCCTTATTTGGCCTAGCCGGCTATGTGTTGCTGAACAGGGTATACCGGTTTTCAAGGACTCGAGTCTTAAACAGGGTATACAATATCACGATTTAGCGTCTTAAACAGGGTGTCTTTTTGGACCGGATGCCTTAAAAAAAGGGTTTAAAGTATGACAATGAGCAGTCTAAACGAGTAGTACCAACAATACTTTTTTAAAAAAATCTTATCCCATGATCCTAGTATAAAAAATACGTACTTTATCCGATTTCTTTCTGTGAAACGAAATGAATCAGGTTCATGAAATTAGAGATCTTTCGTCTAAAACAAGGAAGCGAAATAAACGAGGTCAGTTTTAAATCGTATCATGTCCTTATCATTGAAAAACTCTTTCCCAGTGCAGCATGAGCCAAAACACAAATGTTGCACAAATCACGCGATCCTTCGTGACATTCCGGGTATCCGGTATCACTACTTGTAAAAAGTTGCAGATCGCTTACCTCTTCTTCTAACAAACAATGCGGAGTTTCGCTGTGGTTATCACAAGTTGAAACCTTTTCGCTCAGTGAACAAGCATCTAAAAAGTTGACTTGTTACAGCAACAAAATAACTTCGAGTTTTGAGAACTGAATGCCGTCCGCTACGCAGCACTACTGAATTGCGCAAGACAATCATGAGAAAAAAATCCTCGTTAATGTCAGTAAGCCAAACCACTTTATCCGCCTTCTTTTTCTCTCTCCCTTTTTCTCAACAAAAGGTTAACGTGTAGCGCACGTGATTTGAGTCGTGCAGTTTCCGTTTCGTCGTTAATGCGATAATAGCACCATTCGGGGGTTCTCTCGTTTCTTTCCCCTGCCATACTCAGTACAGTTGTACAGGGCAGTGTTCGCCTTGTGACTGCAGTAAAGAAGTTTGGCATACAACAGAATGTCTAAAGTATCTTTTTTATCAAACCTAGGGAGGGGGGAACTCCCTTATTTGGCCAAGCCGGGTATGTGTTGCTAACAGGGTATGCGCATGCCAGATTTCAAGGTCTTGACTCTTAAACAAGGTGAACAATTTCACTACAAGCGTCTTTTAAACAGAGAATCTTTATAGACCGGAAGCTATAAATGAGAAGAGTTTAAGCTAGGCAATGAGCAGGGCTAAATGAGTGGTACCAACAACACTTATTTAAAAAAATATTCTTATCCCATGATCTTAGTTTAAAAAATACTCATTTTTGTCTGCGAAACGGAATGAATCAGGGTCTTGAAATGGGATCATTTGTCTTAAACAAGGAAGCGAAATGAACGATTTTTGTCTTACGCGAGGTCAGGGTTTGAAGGGTCCGGCAACACACGAATACCCAAACTCCCTTTGAATGTCCCGCAAGGCTGATATTTCAGCAACCAATTAAAGCCTAAATCATCGATTCATGAAGGGTCAGGCCCGAAACGTTTGGTAAGAATCTTTACCTAAAACACGGCACTTTATAATTTCAGTTAATTAAATTTCATAATTAATTACCTTACTCACTTACTTTCTAAAGAGCCAAGCAGCTTACGGAATTTTTCGTAATTTGTTGGACACATCCTAACAGAAAACTGAAATCTCCTCCGCACCTGTAGTTCCGTAATACATAAAATTTCTTGTGAATACCTAGCGCCAAGAGTAGACAGAGAGAGATTTATTTCCTTGACAACATGGCTGGGAAACACTGATAGCCATACGCTTCTGTCAAGTGCTAACGTTTCCTAGCCTCCCCCGCAGGCGTTCTTTTAATTTGGCTCATAACGCACTCGACTCCTTCCAAACGAAAAGGGGCAGGAACATGTGACGAACCCCAAAGAAAGTCTGCATGGGAGGCTAATTTTTCCGCGATTAATCAATTTACCACACATTTTTTACTAGATATGAAGTTGCTACCGTGATGAAACATTTTCTTCCTTGATATCAAACATTTATTACTGTTTGTGCATTCACTAAAATGCTCGAAAAAAATACTAGCACTTTAATTTTGCTATCGGGCGAGGGAATTTTGTCCTTAACTTGCCCGATGGGCAAATGAAATTTTTTGAGGAATTCAAATTACGTTTTACAGAAGAACTGTAAAAATCAATTCTGCTCATCGAAATGTTTTTGGGGCTAGTTGAAATGACGTTTGGGCTAGTATATGCCACAGGTAACCCAGGCTCTGTGATAGTACCACAGTACGGTTCCAGTAAAATTATAGTGTTTGTATAGGGTAAAAATATCATCCTAAAATTTCTAGGAAATACTAAATAAAGATCAATGAAACTTACTCTGCAGTTAATTGTTGTTGTCCTTATTGCTCCAACGAAGTTTCGTGATAATTTGCAGTAATTTGTTTAAATTCACTCTATCTACAATAATAATATACAAGGTAGGAAACACGAGGTGCCATTTTCTCCGACATGCTCTCATTCAACACAACTTTTTCCACGAAATTCGAACTCCAACGGAAAATAAACATGCCAGGATCGTAGAAATAGGATAGCAGCAGATATAGAAACCAATGAAGCTTTCCCAGATAGAGAAACGAATCCCACAGACTTTGACAAACTCGAAGAATATAATCCAAACACACCGAGAGTACGCTCGCCGAAGCAGCCGGGCCAGATCAACGCGCGGCCAAGAAAATGAAGCCTGGGCACTGTACAAAAAAATTCCATCCCGGGAGTCCTGGGGTGACCTTTCTAGGGACCGATACATCATTTGCCCACAGCCACCCTCTCCTGCTGGAAAAATACTTGATAGAAGGCAATTGTTCTTCCTAGCCAATCACCATTTGCCAGAGCAAACCCCGCACACGCGCCTGAATTTAAATGGCTAAAAAAAAAGTAATATAATCAGGAGAGTCTGCGGAGTTACAAGGTGTCCCATTTCTTTTACTAAGGAATGCAAATAACAGTAATGAAACTAATGAAATAACAACGCGAAATGCTTACAAGGCGGGCTAAAAACAAGGTTGAACAAAAGGTAGATGATGACTGAGATACTGTTGCTGTGAACTCTCGAGCGAAACTATTGTAAATAAACGGTGAAGCTTACAAACTAATGTCAAAAATTATACAGAAAATTGCGACAGAATATGAATTGCGATAACTGAGACGAATGTGAAAGGCACGTGCACTAGTAAACAAAGAACTAGCGCGATTAACATATTTAGCGATTAATGCGGCAGTAACACGCCGACTTCTTGTCAATACAAGTGAACGCTCTATCGGTTAAATATGTGAATCATCGTGATACACCTCTCTTTGAATTTGGTCCTGTTGTACAAATGCCTCGGTAAGAGCCAAAATTCACTTATATCTTTTGCTCGTTTTAAGTTTTGTAAATCGTCCTTCGTTGTTCTTTCCTTTGCCCTTATAACCTTGCCCTATTGATGTTTGATAAACTTTCTGAGGACCAGCGCCAGGAGCTGAATATAGTTCGAGAGGAAAATAATCTCTTTATAACAGGCCATAGTGATTGGCTAGGAAGAACAATTGCCTTCTATCAAGTATTTTTCCAGCAGGGGAGGGTGGCCTTGGGCAAATGATGTATCGGTCCCTAGAAAGGTCACCCCAGGACCCCCGGGATGGAATTTTTTAGTACAGTGCCCAGGCTTCATTTTCTTGGCCGCGTGTTGATCTGGCCCGGCTGCTTCGGCGAGCGTATTCTCGGTGTTAGTGTTTGGATTATATTCATGGAGTTTGTCAAAGTCTGTGGGATTCGTTTCTCTATCTGGGAAAGCTTCATTGGTTTCTATATCTGCTGCTATCCTATTTCTACGATCCTGGCATGTTTATTTTCCGTTGGAGTTCGAATTTCGTGGAAAAAGTTGTGTTGAATGAGAGCATGTCGGCGAAAATGGCACCTCGTGTTTCCTACCTTGTATATTATTATTGTAGATAGAGTGAATTTGAACAAATTACTGCAAATTATCACGAAACTTCGTTGGAGCAATAAGGACAACAACAATTAACTGCAGAGTAAGTTTCATTGATCTTTATTTAGTATTTCCTAGAAATTTTAGGATTATATTTTTACCCCATACAAACACTGTAATTTTACTGGAACCGTACTGTGGTACTATCACAGAGCCTGGGTTACCTGTGGTATATGCTAGCTTTAGCTTGCTCGAATGGCAGGCTTTAAAAATGACTTTCCTTGCACCCTGCTGGGGCGGTCAGATAAATCATTTTCAGTATAATACTGCAACCACACAAAAGAGTTCCTGAAATGCAATGAAATGCAATGCTGACCACGAAACATATCGTGAGGTGTCGACCCGGGGGGGGGGGGCACTTGGGTATTTTTTGGGTGGGTATGTGCCGCCCGGGACTCCAAATTGGCACCCCGTTCTAAAAAAAATTTCCCCTCAAATTGATACCCCGTTCTAGAATTCGCCCTAAAACTGATACCCCGTTCTAGAAATGGGCCAATTTTTTATACTCCGTTCTAAGGTACAAAGAGTACAACAGTTTGCTTGTTAATGCATTGAACAGTATTTTTAAAAGCAATGTGTCCTTGAATAATTTCAAATGGCCGCTTACAAAACTGGAGCTTTCGTGCGTTTGAAAAATTATACCCCGTTCTAGAAAATGCCTCTGAAATGGATACCCCGTTCTAAATCAGGAGCTTCAAAATCACGACCCCGTTGGGCGGCACATACCCGTATAGGTAATGTATGGGAGTACCCCCCCGGGGTGTCGATGGAGTAAAAAGGCGGTATCACGTTTTTCAATACCATGCATGGAAATTGAAAATATCGTCGAAGTTAGTACAATAAACGTGCTGCAATTTTTGCGTATCAGGGAGTTTTGCCACAATTTCAACATCAGTAATTTCATGAACTCTAAATTACAGTGGTTTTTGAGTGTCTGATATTTCACGTACCATGTAATTTCGTGCAAGTGAAAACACCGGAAACTTCACGTATCATGGAATTTCATCGCATTCTACTGGCAGTAAACAGTAGCCTGCGTGGCAGGCGTTCGAAAGGGAAGGGGAAGGGAATTAGGGCTCTCTCGGGCGCCCAAATTCCCCCTCCCCCTTTTAACGCCTGCCACGCAGGCTAAGTAAACAGAGGGGCAGACAGAGGATGAATAAAATGAGCCCTAGTCGGTGGCCGTGTTGCCTGGAAACCCAAAATGCACCTGGGCAACTGCGGATACCAAACAAAATAAGATAGAAAGAAAGATTTATAACCAAAACGAAATCGCACTCTGCTTGCGATCCTCGCGTGATCTGCGCGCTGCGCGCGCGACAAAATTATAAACTCGCTCCGCGAGATTAAGCATTATCGAAGAATTTTAATGACTTTTTGGGGGGCGACCGAGCGTCTTAGTGGGAGAAATGGAGCATTGAAGTGAAAATAGCAAAAACGAACAAATCATCCAAATTATTTAGTTTCTTGTTTGATTAACAAGGGAATGCGCAGTGAATCTTATTCAAAGATGTTTTTTATGGAAAGGATAGCTTAACGATGACAACACAATGCCCCTGAACGAGGATTCTGACATCGGAGCCAAGATTTGACTGAGACGTCTCAGATCGAGGACGGCGACGGCAGGGAAAACTTCTCTTCAAAAAGTGAATTTGCGTTTTTTCAACCTTCATCGCGATTATTCCCGTGAACTCACTTATATTGTCGGATGTATGCGCACTCTTTTGGAATTGAATTCCTACGAGCCTTACTCAAGTTCAAGAAAAAAAAAAGTGTGATGCACGTGCAAAATTGTTCTTTTGCTTATTAAACCTATTGGTTTTTTGAAGTTCTCGTTCCGCATCGTCTATGGAACCAAAATTTTCAAGCCTAAAATTATCGGCGGATATCCCACCGAAAACATTTTTCCGGAAATTGTCAACCCTAGAGAGCATAGTAACAGGCGACGAAGGTAAAAAGCCATCTGACAAAAAAATCATACAACAGGCTAGAAAACTCACAAAAAATCTAAATTCAGATGTAGAAAACGAAGAAATTGAAATATTTAATTACAAAAACTATGGCCTGGAAAATCCAGTAAAATCTATTCCCTTCTCGGTCCTGTGATCAAGTTTTCTGATGATATGATCGTATTTTTATTTGAGGGAAAAACATAAGAATTTCATGTTGATCGGCAACCCTGAATTGGGCGTATCCAAAGCCAAGCTCAGAATCCCACTAAACAATTTTTCATATTTCTTTCGGCAGCATTCTATTCAGCAAATCGAAGTATAGATATTATTTAACACTTGAAAATAGTTCTCAAAAAGATAAATATGATCATGTTTAATGAAATTTACCCCAAATAATTTATTTAGTTTCCAACTCCTTTTAGATATCTTATTAAGCAAGCAGTTGTATCAGTTCTAGTGCATAAAACGTATAAGAACGTCGTACATATCACAAGAATGATTTTGTAGTGAAAACAAATCTTTATTGCTTCTAATCTAGAACTTCCGAACCAAAGACTGGAACTTTAAAAGCCAGTTCTATTTTAACAAAATAAAAGGCCCAGACCTCCCCCCTCGGCGCTGATCTGATCTTTTTATTGTTACCAGCAAAATCAGCTTTTATTTGCCTTTTCCTTGAACAACCAAATTCTAAAAATTAAATGAACTGTTTCATTTTTTGTACCAGGTTCAGTTTTTTGGCTTTACAAAATGCATAAAATGTTTTTTTATTAATGTTATTTACCTATTAATTCATTTACTTGTCTATTTATTATTTTGTTTACTGAAATGTACTATAGAAGTCACTCAAAGTGATTCAATGCTTAAAAACAATTAAACAATTTTGTGAAAATTTAATCACAGGATATGAATTTTGGTAAAGGTCTCCTTTTAGTGGACAGGAAGGATTTTCAATGCATCCAGTTGACACTGTCCTTGGTAGCAGGACCAGGTCCAGCAGCAGGAGTAAAGATCTCCTTCTTTCCACCTCCTTCCAGCACCAGGGTCTCTCCTTCCCGTCTGAGTGAAGTCAGACCCCCCAGGATGGAGGAAGCCTCATTCTCCAGCAGCTGGAGCTCTGGAGGTGGCATCATCCTTGTTGACATGACTGGTCCTGACACGAGTTTACCATCAGCACCCTGAGTTACATTGCAGGATATAATGTTGGCCACTTCGACTGAAATGTGCCAGCTTGCTTCTCCAGTTTTCTCAATCATCAGCTTGAACCTCCCTTGCCAGTCTCCTTCCACCCCTTGTCTTGGAGTAGGAACAAGCTGGAAAGCATCCAGGCTAGAAGTAGCAGTCTCAGAGATTGTCACACCCTGTCCCACTTCATCCATGGAAACTGCTGGACGGAACTCCATGCCACTGTAGCCAGAAATATCAAATGCCACTCCCAGTCCACTTCCATTTTTAGAGAATGCCAGCACAATCTTGTCACCAGTCTGCTCCAACCGCATTCCAATGACATCACCATCACCAAACTTAGGTCATATCCCCAGCGACTGGTCACCAGGCTACTGCCATCACTCAAGTTGCCCAGCCCGCCATAGAACAATCCCTTCATCCCCCAACCGGCTGCAAACTTATCCTCAGCAGAAACTCCCACCCAGGTTCCGGAACTTCCAGTCACATTAAACTCCCAACTCCCAGTTCTGCCTTGACTCCAGATAGCATTCCCCTTGGAATTGCCACTCCCAGTGAAGCTAACCTTTGCTCCAGAAACTGTCAGGTTACCAGATCCATCATCTCTCCATGTCATGTTGTTGAACTGATACTAGAGCTGGGTTCTCCTGTGTTAATGTAAGTAAAGGTTAGGCTACACTTTTAGAGGTTTATAATTGACAAGGCTTCCAAGTTAAAAGGTCCCTACAAAAAGGAAGAGAGCGTGGGGACATTTTTGTGTGGAGCCCTTCAACAATAATAAAATATTCATTATTATTATTACTAGTCTTTGTTAATGATGTCACCTATTTGAAAAACCACTGACCGCATTTTCATTGCATTGAGAGTTCAAGACGTATTTATACCCAGGTATAATTTTTTTCATAGGTTTAAGATGTCTTCTTTTTTGTTTCACTGGCTAAAATAAAAAAAAATGGTGTTTGGAAAAATGGATCACCTTAAACGCCCCATAGAAATTGAAATCTTGGGTTTAAAAAAATCAAATAAGATTACTAATTCTAGCCTGTGTGGTTGGCAGGTTTATGTGCTGGGCATTTTTTTTTATGGGATGGGGAAATAAAATTTGACTTGCACCCAAACTTGAGGTTCTGCTACCAAAAACAACAGCACACCCCCCACTAACCCACCAGCTGGCTATAACTAAATCAAATGGAATCAACTGAAAAAAATTATTAAAAATTAAAACTGTTGTAGCTGCTGACAAGATAAATAATTATTTTGCCTGGAAGTTAATTATTCATGTGGTCACCAGTTTTAAGACATAATTATTTTCCCTTGTAACCATCAGTACCATCAGGATTACCAGAAAAAAAATATCTTTATCCCAGCAGAATTACATGAAAAAAGACTATATAGCGATGTCTTTTTGCCTTATATCCCCTTATATTCATACTGTTTGTTGCATAACATTTCAATCATTTATGCATTTAAACCATCATAGGGGTGCTTGCCTTTTTGCCAAACAAGCTGGTAAGAAACCAGTAGATCTTGCCAAGTGAAAACGTAATAACATTATTCTTGAAGCAAAGTTTCCAACTAGGTCAAAGCATTCTATTTAAGTTAAGACCTGAATTCTGATTACTTTTTGCAAGGTGAGACTCGAAATTTGGGAAACTGAAATGGTAAAGTGTTGGCCGGACAATACTGACTGCTCAAAATAAGTTAGGTTGACCTGCCGAGCTCTGGAAGTGGATCAGTTTTTCAGGAGAATTTTTAACAGCCAGACATTCCAATCATATTTCAACAACAATTTCCAGCGGAGATTTCGGCATCTGTAAACTCAGCATTATCCTTTTTTTACTCTAATAAATTACAAGTCCCATCTTGTTAAAATATTTTGACTTTATGGACTCAAAGAACCAAATAAATTCTGAAAAATGTATTCTCCCCCAATCACTTTCCAAGTAACGGGCATGAAAAGTAAAATGTTATATTGTACATACCTCTTCGTGTAGCAAACAAAACACTCTGGCTTTTGCAGTCTTTAAGGCCTTGGCCTCTTCAGATGTGTTGATATCTGCTCAAGCTGAGCTGAAGTATGAAATAAGAAAACAGACAGCAGAGTTTCTACATCACACACACTCCAGGCAGCAGGCCAAGTTTGATGCATAAATTTCCTAATGAATTACTAATTTTGCATAACCAACCACTGACACCCCATTGCACTCTCTTCCTTTCAAACATTTGATACAGAGAAACTATAGGTATTAGTGTAGGAATAAACTTCACTTACCTCAACTTGGGCTGGAAGAAATCTAGCCTCACTGTGTATCTGGTACGTTTGTTAAGCAGTGGGTATTTTCTTTATGCAAGGCAGAATATTCGGCTTGCTCCCAAACTTCCTGCAGTTCTGCTGCCAAAAAATGACAGCACTCCTCAGCTTTCTAACCCCAACAGCTACACACGCTGGCTAATTGAATCAAATGGAATGAACTGTAAAAATTAAGGCCTGCAGGTGATTTCCACTTGCTGCAATTAAAATAAAGCAAGACCATTGTAACTGTTGATGAGATAAATGTTTGTTTTCTGCCTTGAAGCTAGTTAATTATTCATGTGGTTAAACCTTTTTAGACAATATTTTATATTTTCCATCAGTACTATCAGGAACAGCAGAAAAAAAATTCCCTTGGTCTTGGCAGAATTATATGAAGAGTGAGAAGACTATATAATAATGTTCTGTTCAATGTTTGTGCTGTAACATTAATAAGTAAACCATTACGATGATGCTTTTATTACATTTTGCCAAACAAGCTCAGAAACTAATGGATCTATGCATAAGTGCAGGAAAACATGATAACAACACTATTCAATAATTTAAAGCAAAGTTTCCAACTGGGTCAAAGCAATTCCGCTCTTAAGTTAAGACCAAAATTCTGATTACTTTTCACAGACTGTAAAATTACAAGAAAATTGGGAAATAGAATGGTAAGTGTTGGCCAGACAAAACTAACTGGCAAATTGGTCTAAATAATCGACCAACTCTACACTGTAGAAGTGAAAATTTTCCCCCGGGGGGAGGGGGGGTACTTGGGTTAATGTTTGCTAGGTATGTGCCGCTGGCCTATCCCATACATTTTAGTAAAATCCAACTAGTGGTCTATTATCAATGCTGCATTCTGATTGGTTGAGCTACTACTAGGCTATATGTTATAGCCCACTAATAGAGAAAAGTGCCTGGTTTTTGGTGGCAAAAAAGGATTAAACTCTAGTTTAAACTATAGCTACAATTTTTTTATTCTCGATATTTTTTACCAACTAGTTGGATTTTACTAAAACAATTATTATTCCTCGAGCCCGAATGGCCTCCAAGTCAATATAGCCCATTCGGGCTCGGGGAATAATTGTTAAATAGTCTATTTTTTGGCCAAGTACCCTTGCGAAATGAATTCCCAGCTTTCTGGGAATTCCTAGGAATTCCCAAAAATTCCCAACTATGCAAATCAGCCTTCATCAAATAAGCTTGGAATTCTTGAGAATTTTTGGGAATGGCAAATTAGGTCTCACTCTAGGCTTGGAATTCCTAGGAATTCCTAGGAATTGTAAGTTTTACAATTTTAGAAGCTTAAGAATTGTTGAGAATTTCTGGGAATAGAAAAATTCAGGCCAACTGGGCTTGGAATTCCTGGGAATTCCTAGGAATTCTAAGTTATGCAAATTAGGAATTCAGCTGAGGGATGTTTAAAAATCAGAAAGACTTTAAAAATTGTGGAAGATTTTGTAGTCTTTTCTTATTTTTTCACATTTTAATTTTAAGCGATTGCACTGAAACAATTCTAAACTTATAATACAGAACATACTGGTAATGTATACTTCTATACTTACATTCTTATATTCAACTCAATGTTACCTTAAATCTGGTAATGCTGACATGTGGCGAATGCTGTTCACAAACCTCCAACCAGTATTTAAATTAAGATAACAATTTAACGTATCTAAATTACATTATTACAGCATATTACAGCAATAAATATTTAACGCTGTTACATGTCCAGTACACTTTCAGTGCAAAATGTTGTCTGAAATGAGAAGTCTCGTTTTTAAAAATATGAAGTGCATTTCCAGTCTGCAATGTACGTTGTTTATCCACATACTCCACGGAAATTAGGCGAACGCACAAAACATGGGCTGTCTTGATTCCCTTCAACCCTTGCATCAGGAGTGCAGTCAAAAGCATGGCAAGCCCGGCCAAGCCCGGAACAACGGCCGCCACAACACGTTTTTCGTCGCAGTTCTTTCCCAACTTAAAAGAACAACGTTAAGTTTACTTCTGCTTTTAACACTTCAAATGCGTTGCTTCATCTTAATTAACGTTGAAAATAACTGCTATTTCGACCCAAACAGGAGCACTTCGCAAGATGGACCTCGCAAGATTAGCCGCCATGTTTTCTTGTTTCCCAGGCTTCCACGCGTGCCTTTGCCACATGCGCGATTTGATTTACTTTGTCACGTGCGACTTTTGAACCAACAGAAAAGTGCCAAATGAACTTCCGTTGAATAGTTCAAATTCACGCGGACTTCACAAGCAACAAAGTATTTTCGTAAGACCGTCTTTCTATTATCCATGTTATTTTCGAGACAAATTGATCAATTGCGAAGTTTGTGTTCACATAAAGCATGTTTGCAAGTGAGTTTACTCAGCTGGATTAATGTGGAAAGGTATGTTTTCTAATAACTTTGCGTAAATAAGCTTACAAAGTTCAAAGATGCATGTGAAGATATGCCATTGATCAGATCCCTTTTTGCTGCTTTTTGTTTACTGCAGATCGAAAGAACTGTACTCTTTGTTGCAAATAGTCAGTGGAATACTCTGAAAACTGTATGTTCTGGCGCTACAAGGTTATAGCAGACTTGTCAAGACCAATGTTAGATAAAATAGGAGAAGAAATAGCATAATAAGTATAAGTTTCCAATGGCTACTTATACAAGTTAGAAGCAATGAAATTTCCAGTTAATTTATAAGGACTTGAGACTTGAACTTACATATAAAATATTAGAATACTGCCGGTAGGTTTGTTCATTTGAACTTTAATTCATAGTATAGGTTGCATAAGGTTTTATATTAAATGCTTCTGGTACATGTAATCTTAATAATCGCTGCAATATTAAGGTCAAAAACAACTAGCACTAGCACTTGCTTGATGTGTGGACCTTCAGTTCAGAAGGCTGCATCGGCGACATTGGAAAAAGCAGTCATTTATTAGCTTTTTTTCATATTCATGCACTGTATTAATTATTCGAAGATGTTTATTTACATGCATGTGTGTGGAATGTGGTGATGTGTATGTTAGGTAAAATAAATTACGAAAAAGAGAATGTTCAGCTGATGTTGTCATTTGGATTAAAAACAAACACTATCTGTAGATTCCACCAACAGGGTATGTTTTTATATTTTTTTTCAATCATGACTAGGTATATGTTACTTTACATTATCTCACTATCTAGAGATTCCACCTGAACAGGTTATGTTTTACATTTTTTTTTTCAATCATGACTATAGCGATAGTTTACTTTACACTACATGTATATCTATGTGTAAGTATATCTATATCTAAGTTTATTCATATGTATATAAGGACTACAGTCATTATACTGAATTATTTGATTCCTACTTCACAAAAAGTCATTGTCTCAAATTTGATTTTTTGAGGTCACTGTTGTAATTTTTGGAACATTTAGACGATCAGTGCAGTGAAATTTTTAAGTCAAGTTAAAGCAGAAGAAGTATTTTTTGTTAACATGGAGAGCTATTTTTCAGTTATTGCTGGAATAAACATTGCTTCAGTTTTTGTACATTTGCCTTATGGGTTTCTGCTTCGGAGAGCAAAAAAAAAATAGCAACTTCTAGTATTAACTTCCTTAACATAAGGGTTTAAATGCAAATCAGTTTTTGATTCGAATATCCCTTAATTCCGGCAGCAGGTCGATTTGTTACATCCCTATTCTCAAACTCATTAATCATTCATAAAGAAAATACAAAGAAAATTAATGTTTAATGAGTGTTTGGAAATCGGATGAAAAACTTCTGCTCAGTATTTGCATCCTTAATTTCTCCTTCAAAAATGATTTTGTTTGAGAAGAAATATCAAACATTCGACACAGTGTTTCATCACTAGATGAAACACCTCGAAGTTCGTCAAAAATACTCCGCTGCGCGTCGTATTTTCAACTCACTTCTTGGTGTTTCATCTGGTGATGAAACACTGCGTCTCATGTTTGATATATTACTTGACCTACCTATTCAAAGCTATTCCAAGGAATTCCTAGGAATTCCTAGGAAATTCCTAGGAATTCCTAAGAAGTAATCATTCTGTTTATATTCTTTCAATTCCTAGGAATTCCTAAGAATTCCTAGGAATATTTTCCAAGCCAACTGATGGGTGAGCAAAGCTTGGAATTCCTAGGAATTCTTAGGAATTCCATGTTCCAATTACCGTGAAATTTCACACCTTAGAATTCTTAGGAATTCTTAGGAAAATCCTAGGAATTCCTAGGAATTCTCAATTCCATTTCGCAAGGGTACAGACCCCATCTTAGTCACTTTTTGGAAAACGTAATTTTCACGATCCCATTACTTAGTCACTTTCTATTTATGCCTCTACCTTATCAATGTGGTTTCAAGCGGCGGAATGTAATGCTGTCAATGCAAGCGTATTGTTAAATTTAATAAACGAAAACTTTCTGACTTTTTTAACCGAGAATCTTCCCATTTTGAATCCCTACTTACCCCCAAAATCCAAAAATTTGCGACCCTGTTATAGTCACTCCAGTTGAGAAAATGCAACCTCATCCAGCAACACATCCCCATTAGCCTCTTGTGAGGGAGTACCCCCCCCCCCCGGAAACTTTCACCTGCAGCTGGACATCGACCAAAACTTCCAGCGGAGATTTCGGCATCCATAACTCAACATTTTTTCTTCTCATTAAGTTACAAGTTACCCCTACTTTTGTTACAAAAATAATATTTCAATATACTGACAAGCTTCCGCATGCAAACACCCTGTCATTACCGAACTTCTCCAAAATGTGACCACAATAAGATTATTTTCCCAGTCTAAGCCAAAGTTGGAACCTCTTATACCCACTGAACATAATTTTTAATTATATTTCTCAAAATTATGCATGCTGCTTATGCTTTTGTATCAAAAATAACCACTGAATACAAACACCAGTGGCACAATTTAATGCAGGGATTGTCTGAAGGAATTAAGCAGGTGTCTAAAAGTTGAAAAATTACCAAAAGACTGAGATTGTAAATGCAGGTCTTCAGCTATCAACCGGAGACAAGCCTGTCCCATATATATAATAATTGTAATAATTAGCGGTCGTGGTCATCAACTAGAAACTTAGCAATTTGCCGACATTATGAAATATAGTTGATTGGTAGAAACAATTGTTATTGGATGAGGTTTTTGTGATCAGGATATAAAGTGTTATCAGCGAGCTGAAGGCCCGAGGCTGATTAAAACGCACGTCTAATAGCAAGACCTTGATTATTTAGGACAAAAACTGAATAACTGTTTTATTATACGACTGTTTGAAGAAAATTACGACAAACATACTGTTGCAAGGAATTGTTATTGGAAATCATGAATTGCACGCACAACCTACAGATTAGTAAGTTATCTGCTGGTAGATAACTAACTAATCAGCAGTACTTATAGGTTGCGCTGATTTCCAAAATAAGCCTCTTAGCCAATGAGAAGAAAGATAGTGAGGGCAACGTATAACAGTCATATTTATCTCCTTTCTATTCATAAACTCATCTTACGCTACTAGCATTAAGCTAAAGTCTACTGGTTAAAATTAATCTCCGCTATTTTGTAGAATTTTGGAGTGGGGAAAGAGTGCTTATATGGGGTCTGAGGCTTATATGTCTTAAACCGGTAGAGGAGAGTTACGACAAAGGAAGTGCATTCAAAATGTTTAAGGTTAGAAACAGCTCAAGAGCCGTCGTGGTAACTCCTTTTAAACACTCCAAAAGCGGTGGAAACTCTAAGGTACATCTCACAACCCAATCTGTTATGTATTCTTTTCGATCACGTTTTCAGTTGCAGGTATGAAAAATTAATGTAAAATGTTGCAACGTACATACCTCTTCTTGCAGTAAAGAAAACAGGCTTTCGCAGTAGGCCCCCGCCTCTACACCTGGGTATATATTCAACAGCTGAGCTGAAGTAAACAGACGGCGGAGAAGGTAGCGCAGACGGGTGCAGACTCTACAGCACGCACAGGCAGCCCAAGGGTCGATGTATAAATTTACTTTTGCATGACCACTTACGACAGACAGTTGATACAAAAGCTAATGAACAGATCGATATTGAAATTTAGTTGAAAGTGTAGAAACAAACTTCATTTATCTTAACTTGGGCTTGTTTTTGTTTTTCTGCGTTATAATTCCAGACTAAGTTTATGTCCATTTTCAAATTCGTCATATAAAGAAAGCCTGAATCTAGCTGGAAACTGAAAAACTCCATGAAAATAATGAAAAACCATAACTTTTGCGTTTCGTTCTTCGTCTGTATCACTAAATAATATTGCAATATCACACTGTGGTTTGGAAAAAATAGACTCTGATGGTGATTAATTGCAACTGTTGGATGTCACCCCGCGTGTTCGCCTCCTGCAACTCGCGTTACATGCCCGATAGGTCAAGGCAGTACATAATTAAGGTCAAAATATTGATATACATCAGAATAGCGGAAGTGCGAATCACAATTGGTCGTCATTTCCGTTTTTTTTTTCTCGTTCATCATGTCCGGTAGTCTGCTACACAGCCGTTTTCAGTGTGGTCACGCAACGCTCCTCCCCATCAGGGGAGGAGCGTTGCGTGACCACACTAAAAACGGCTGTGTAACGGACTACATGTTCGGCAGCATAGAGTGCAACTCGTAAAAGCCATTAGGTTTTCGTAAGAATCAAAATTTTTATCCCTAATACATGGTATTATAAGCTGGGACAAAAGCCGATTACGGCTCCTCGCTGGAGTCCGCCTGGGACTGGGGTTTAAGCCAGTCGGTTATCTTAGAGATTATCATACAGCGACATATTAATTGTCAACTTATTCGCAAAGAGATGATAACGTAGTCAGCCTGGTACTAATATTATTTGCGTTTAAACTACACAGAAGGCTTATGATCAACAAATAAAAAACAAAGATTGAGATCCAGATTAGAGATGGAATGGAAGCCTGGGTGATACTTGTACTGTTCCTGGTAGCCTGCGGCATGGCGGTTTTGGTTGGGCGTGCTAAGTAATAAAGGCACTCAACGTCAATTTTCGCAAAATATCTGTTCGGAAGACGATTTGAGATCTAGAATTTTCGGAACATTTGTTGTAAAATTTCTTGCTTGCCTTCCTCTCCTATAGGATTTCGAACATCCAAAAATTGGTATAATTGCCCATTTTTAACAGATTTTTACCCTAAAAAAACTCACCTAGATTTTTCGGAAGCCTTTTTTTCTGGCTGAATTTTTCGAAAAGGTAAGTTTTGATCCCTATAATTTTCGGATCGCTAGACTTTCAGCTAGGAAATCCGAACAGAAGAAAAATTTTTAGGGGATAAAAATATGCCCATATCTACCGTTTTTATACTAAAATACGTTTAACAATGCTAGTGGTTTTGAACTATATTCTCGTTGGGCGCCCCTGGGTGTTCAGAGAACCGAGGTTTTGCCAGAACAGTAGAGTGCTTTTTATACTTAAATATTTACTTATTTCGACTTTAAAAGCCCTATCCATATTTCCTCAACCCTGTCCGCAACCGCGTCACTTGGCCCTCTGTAAGATTGCCTTCTGACGATGATCGGTATCGTGATACAAGATGGGGCGAAACTTTTAGTTGAGATGAATGGTTTGAGAAACAATATTGCCAAATGCCTACCGTCTTAAGGGACGGACCATTAGGAAAGTTATGGGGGAGGGGAAGGGGAATTTTCGAGACGCAGAAATTTTGTTTTCGTTATCAAATTCCTTGAATGACATTTTTCCAGGCCATAGCATGAATATTTTTTAGGATTAATTGGCGTGCATGCATTTTTTTTCATTTAATTTTCCCTTGCGCGAATATTTTTTTGGTACTTCGCCCGCCCCCCATAAGTTTTCTAATGGTCCGTCCCTAAGTTAAGTTTGTAGAATACATTAATATTTTATGTTCTAGATAACAGATTTTATGCCGATTTTATAGAATGCAACAGTCATTTTTACAGTTTAGTCTTTGAATAAGCGCATATCGGGTTTACTTAACAATGTTGACGGGGAAATAAACGGAAAAGATGTGATTTTGATTAAGATGGCCATGTCGGCTGTCTTTCAAGTTTAAACGATGAACCGGTTGCGTGACAGTATCCTTCGCAGCCGCTCGGGTCGGAGTCACCCAATGCACTTCCGGCCCGTAAGACTACAATCTTACCCAGATTAATGGAAAACCTATACCCCACCCTCCTATCTGAAATGGTGCGTCGCGGCTTCATCCTTGATTCTGTCCAAAATTGTAGTTGTGTGAGGGCGATACTCTTCCGGAATACAGTATCCGTCGGATTAAAACTTATACCGCGTTTAACTGCCGCCTGGTTAGCTCAGTAGGGAGAGCGCCGGTCTGCTGGGGGGGGGGGTAATGAGTACTGCCAGGGAGGTTGGTGATAAGGGAAGGCAATCAGCGGCTTGTCGTGGCTTGTCGTATTTTAGCCTTGTCGTTTTACGAGGTTGGGGACTATATTAAAAGTATAGAAAGCAGCAAAGAGGAACTAGCTATTGCAAGGGAAAAGGGAAACAGAAAGAGAAGCATCAGTGTGCGATATTCCGGCCAGGTCTTATCTGCGCATCGGAGGATACAAACAGAGTATTGAGTACGGTAAAAAAGCACTGAGCATTGCCAGGTATGTACGAAATAGCCTGCGTTGCAGCCGGCCCACGTACTCGTCTAAACCATTTGTATAGTCCGTCTGCGAATTAGTGCACAAAAGCTCGTTCTAATATCCTGCAGAGTCGCAAGGACTTATGTGAGCGTTTCTGATAGGCGGGTTTCTTACGGGTTTCTTACAAGCCGCACGATTGGTCTAATTTTTACGTGTGCGTGACGGTTGGGCGCTGTGACATGTCAATTAAAATTCACAGAAGGGAGTTGGCAAGGATCGTTTACAGTAATCGAAAGATCAGTTCGAACTTTAGAGCCGTCTTCTGAGCAAAAAAACGCTTTGAGATATTCATAATTCCTTCAAGGCCAAAATTTGCTAGTAAATTTGCCGGCTGGTTTCCCAGCGTCTTCCAATCGCTGCAGATGTACTATTGCGTATTCTGTAATCTAGCCGACAGTTCTAGATTCAAAACAAATGAAGAAATCATCACGTTATTCACGATAAAAAAAAAAAAAAAAAACTACACACATGTAGCTATTCAGGTCCAAGCGTTTCGTTGAAAACCAAAGAAAATTAGGTTATTTAGCCGCAATAAAGAAGCTTAAGGCTTAATCAGAGGTAAAAGAAAATCATTTATGCATCTGTGATCAAATCCTCTTAGAAAACATTTGCCAAAAAATAAACTACAGGAACTAATTACTCAATATGTATGAAACAGACCAGCTTCACAACCTCTAAATGTAGCTAAAGGTGAGACTCAAAGAGGCAAAAAAAATTGCTCAGTCAAATTGTAGAATACTCCATGCACTGTATAAATTACGCAAAAAGAGAGCAAGAAAAACATCTGTTGTTCAAGCTACTCTAGGGGTCTCTAAAGTCACGTTTCACCATATCACGAGCTTAATCTCTCTGGTCACGAGCTATGAGTCATGTTTGGCCTGTCAACGCTTAATTCAAATCGGACTAATCACAAACTGCGAAAGAACATAGCCAATCAATAACGCCGACATATATCCATGCTACTCTACGGGATTCGAACACGATATTGTGCACTAATTCGCAGACTCTCTATACAGAAGGTTTAGAGTGTCTGCGACGCAGGCTAGTACGAAAGAGGGAAAGAGAAATGGACGCACCTGTTGCTCTTTCAGGTTCGTATTATGAGGTTGGTGACTATCATGATCTAAGCGTAGAATGTGGCAAGCGAGCCCTGAGTATTGCAAGGGAAGTAGGAAACAGAAAAAGAAAAGCGGACGCATGCGCTGTTCTAGCCTGGCCAAACACAGCATAGAATACGGAAAACAATAGCCCATTTCCGAGTTCTCGCATTTTAGAGATCTGGTGCCGAAATTGACTCGCGAGAGCGAGGCTAAGTGCATTGCATCCTATCAAATTTCAGAAACAAGAGTAAGGCATTGTAAAGGAAGTGGGGAACAGGGCGCAGGAAGCTGCCGCGTGCTCTGTTTTGACCAGGTCGTACGACGAGATTGAAAAAAACGACATAGCATAGAAATGAAGGTAAACAAGAGCTGGTTGCAGCAGATGCAAAAGAATTTCGGAAGGGTAGTTCTGCTGGGCCCAGTTGTTCGAAGGCCGATTAGCGCTTAACCCGAGGTTAAATTTCTCTTGCGTTTAAAAGCATTTTCTCGGATAATTTTCTCTGTTTTTTTTAAAGTTTTCAATAATCAACTTGTCGACAAAAAGAATTCAAACTGAAATGATTTTTAAGCTTTCATATCTGAATTCAAATCTCGCACTAACCCTGGGTTATCTTAACCCAGCTTTGAACAACTCGGCCCAGGTAAAGACGGCAAAGAGTTCATAATCGGTTTCATTATTCCTCTAATCAAATGTACTGTTAGAATGAATTATTGTTTTTAAATTACTGGTCAGGATGAAAAGACGCAATAATAGCTTCACCTCGTGAAGTTTATTGACCCTAACATTTGCGATGCTATGACTTATCAGTTCTACCGAACTGTTTTAATAAGTGACTGGACATTAATTGCAAGACCAAATAGAATCATGGCTTAAATGCCGTGTTTGAAAGAACAAGTATACCACTGTGTTGTGATGTTTTACAATCATGCCAAGGTCATTAAAGAAATCCAACATAGTGGCAACTTATCCTCCTCTTCGATGAAACACACTTTCTGGATAATTGTCTAAAGCTAACCGAGGTTCAAAAACTAATTTACAACCATGGCTTATAACCAGCTAGCTGTGGGGAACGTCTAAGGTGAACAGTTCATCTTAGGATTTCGAATACTGATAAATGTCCTCGTTAACTAAATAATTAATTGAAAAGAAAAAGTTTCTAACTAAACCACTTAAGGTGCCAGGTAAGTATAACTTGCTATTCGAGAATAGTAGAAATCCATCAAACTTGTTAATTAGATTCTTTTTTAAAAAAATAAACTATCCTGAAAAAACACATTGGCCGTTCTTATACTAAGGAAGATAGAAAGAATGTATGAGAGCCGCTAAAATTGGGCCTGATCTCAGGTTAAACTTAGGCAAACATTTGTAGTTTGACTGGTTATGCGTCTCAAGTATGAAAACGGGTTCAAACGCATTGTGCGTCTTGTGCCCGTCTTTATACTTGACACGCATAACCAGACGAACTACAAATGTTTCCTTAAGTTCGTCCAGACGGATAATGTGTCCTTACTGTAAAAACGGCTAACTAATAATTCGTTTTAAAAAGTGGAAAAAAGAAATAAAAAAAAAATCAATGTTCAGATGAGTCTGACCTCGAATTCTGTAGAGAAAATTAATACAGAAATGTTCCGATTTGTGGAAAAAATGAAGAGATCTAGAGAAACGGTTTTTTATGGAGCACTCCTACTTGTTCATTAAACATGAGTAAACAATTCTAACTAGGCAAGAAACTGATTTGAGTCTGCTACCGAACAAAAAGAATGTAAAACTTTAAAAAAGAAAAGAGCACACACAAATTATCTACTTCTAAATCTACACTTCATTACGTCGGTAAAGTCGATTGGACATCACACTACACTTACTGTTTTTAAGAAATAAAACACTTGGCAGGTAAATTTGTTTTAAAACAGTCAAGTGACTTAGAATTTACAATCGCTGAAGGCAAAGAATTCCAACCACATATGGATCTAAGGGAAAAAGAGAACTTCTATATTTCAAGGCATGGCTCCTACGTGTCCTTGTTTTAATATCTACAAGACTATGACTCAGTTTGTACATTAGTGATAATAATCTGTCTTTCTTTCTTCTCATTTCTAAAGTATCCCATTCCAATCTGTAATGCTAGCTGTTCGGTTGTAATTCTGGAGGTAAAAACGTGTCTCCTTTCTTTGAACTCTTTCAAGCAACATCATCAAACAAGAACGTCTATTTACAAATTTTATAGACACCGACCTTTTGTTGACATAAAATATTTACAAACCAACTAATGGATGAAATAAGAGGATAATTCAACTGACTAAAAATCTGTAACTGATGAAGGTTAGGAAGACTCCGATCCAAGCGCATCTGGTATTAACCTGTTGAAAAAAACATTGTTAGTGTTGTGGGGATGTTACCCAGACAGAATATAAAAGGAGGATGTACTATTTGCAGGAGGCTAACAAACCATTTTAATGCAGAGGTTTCTTATTACTTCTACAAACTACTACAGCTTAATTACTCAGCTATAAAAAAAAAAAAGAAAACTACCCGTCAGTGAAAACCAAAATGCGCTAAGTTCTACCCTACAAGAAGACGTTTAACAAAAAAAAAGTTAGCACAGAGTGATTTAGTCATAAGGACTGAAGATAATACAGTTTAAGGCGAGTTTGCAGCGATTAATGTCGCCCAATGTAAGGGAATTCGGATTCCGGAATCCAGGGAATTTTTGATAGTGGAATCCGCTGTCATGGGCCTTAGAATCTTGAATACAGCTCAAAGAATCCGGAATTCAAGTTCAACTGATAAAAAATCATGATACAGAAACCAATACCTGGAATCCAGAATCCACGGGGTGGATCCAAGACTGTCTTGGATTCCCTCACATGGGGCGAATTAATGGCATGATCCCAGATTCATAGCAAATTATGACCTTACACATTACTTTTTGCAGTTCATCCAGATTAATAGTATTCCACTTTTCCTTTCTCTAAATACAACTTCTTCCTAAAATGTACTTGCGGTCAAAGGATCGTTCAAATTGGCAATCGTTTTCTGATATCCCTTTTCAAATAACACAAAAAGTTCACCATCTGAAAGCCATTGAAACCATGACTAACCGGTACCTGACATGCAGGCTAATGTTTGGCTAGCTTTGCTATTTTATTAGTAAGAAGATCCTTGTTTACGTTTAAAACGCATTTACCGCCGTCAAGCCTACATTCATCGTCAAAACTGTCCAAACATTCTACATTTCCTTCAATGCCTACTGCCTAATTTCGAACCCAGACCTCTCTATAAAGACATGCAAAATTAACAAAACCCTTTAAATCGAGCGAGTGTCTATTATGGTCCACTCTGAACTTTTGAGTAAAATAACTGTGTGTGTGCTGACACGTGAAAATCATGAAAAACCTTAAATATGTTTGACTGAGTGACAACCATTTACAGTTTTTGAAAGGCAAGTCCTCCGAGAAGAACCCATGCCAGGTCCATCTCATAGGTATAACACAATTTTTCTTTTTCTTTTGTTTCTTTCTTATTTCTTTTTGTTTTATTTATTTATTTATTTATTTATTTATTTATTTATTTACTCATTCATTCATTTGACCAGGTAATCAGTTGAACAGATTTATTCAACGTTCCTTTTGCACTGACAAATTAAGGGGGTAAAACAAGTGACAGTCGCGGATAGTTTATTGTAGTACTCACTTGTCTCAGAATAGTGGGTCCAGTCTTGAAAAACAATCGGATCACTAAGGATATGAACGGTGAGAGAGGCAGCCATTAAACTTGCGAACTTTTTCCAGCAATCTGTACCGGATTTTCTGCCATCTTTGTGGTCTGAAATGCCTTTAATTATAATCCAAGGAATGTCCAAGTCGTGAGCTGCTACATGTAGACCTACAATAGGTTCGACTGAAATGATTTTATTACCAAATAGACTAGAAGGGAATCCTAGACAATCGTGGATTCTGGGTTCCACGCCCTGGACTCAGGATTCCGGATTCCATGTACGGGATTCCTGATTCTTTGTCAGTGGAACTTGGATTCCGGATTCTAATCCTTATCGTTAGTGGGATCCCGGATTCCAAAGCCCAGGATTGGCGTTTCCACAAGCAAAAATTTCCCCGATTCCGGAATCCGGATTCTGTTACATGGGGAGAGGCTAGACATGCAAATTTAGAGTGCGTTCGATTGGGAAATCCGGATTAAGATTTTCAAAATCTAAATCCGGATTTCCCAATCAAACGCGAAATCCGAAAACGGATTTCACCTACGAGAAATCCGTCCTCAGGGTGGATATCAATTAAGAAATCCAAATCCGGATTTTTTGGATTTCCCTTTTTGTCGTTCGATTGGGAAATCCGAAAAAGGATTTGCAAAAATGTTCTCGTGAACAGCGGTCTTCTTTTTACTAATTATGCGTGTGCATGCAAGACCGCTGTTCCTAAGGACAGTTTTTCAAATCCTTTTTCGGATTTCCCAATCGAACGGTAAAAAGGAAAATCCAAAAACAAATGTTTTAGCGTTGAAATCCGTTTTCGGATTTCGCGTTTGATTGCAAATCCGAAATCCGGATGTTAAAATCTAAATCCAGATTTCCCAATCGAACGCACCCTTAGATACGTGGTTAACAGGAAGCTGGTTTTGTTTTTAATTTGCTTTAATGTGTTATTTATTCATTTATTTATTTTAAAACTAAACTTGGAAAAGTTTCCGTTAGCGCTGAACGAAGACTAATATAGGATAGCAGCAGCTAATTAAAACATTAATTAGGTGAAAGAGAAAAACGAATTAAAAATTGAACTTAATGCCTTTTGAAGTGTCAAGGTCTTTTGAGGAAGTTGTAGTGGAAGTTGGTATGTTCGGCAACGAAAACGTCGCCATTTTTAAATGGTGCTATCTGAGCCAATTGAAGAGTTAGACGTTTACAGGGCAATAGTAGAATCTTGGTTCAGTTATTGTAACTCAATGGACCCTGAGTGCTGGTCCGATTGGGGAAAAAGTAACCCGAACATCCCGCCTTTGATTTTTTTAGGTAACGGCTTTTCTGAAGGCTATGTGATATTTGGTGTGACTGTATGCTTACCTTGCCCTTCTAATTCCATAGCAACTGCTTGTGGAAATCGCTTGATGAGCGTCTCGCAGCATTCATTGTTATCAATCTCCCCTGGAACACTCAGAAAATCACCACGATGTATTTTCACTTCAAGTGCTCTGGGATCCTTCAAAGGCGCTTTCCAACCATCGCCAGCATTAGGGATCATCCTTAAAGGAAGGGATTTCAAAGGAACTTGGTCTCCGAACTGCTCACTGGATGGAACACAGGTTATTAACTTCTCTGAAATAACCACGTCGCCCAGTTTTACTTCAATGGTTTTCAGGCTATAGCAGACGCCCACTAGAAACACGGCTTTGGGCCTCAAGACTCTGACAGCCGCCAATACAGAAACTGCAGAGCCTCCAGCAGTGACTGAGCCCCTTTGGCACTTCATTACAGCAGTTCGTAGCTTTATTTGACCTTCTCCAATGTCCCCGAAGTAAACGAAGCCAATGTCTTTGTGGTAACTTTTACAGAGACTGGAATTCAGACACGAAAGGCAGCCTAGAAACTCACAGTCCTCTACCGTTAGTAACAAGATGTCAGTTGGGAGTTGGACATTATTCCAAAGTACCGACTTCTCAGGAAGGTCCTCATTCTTAAGGAGACTGATAGTGATCGCTGGTGGGTCAATTGCAGTTTCTAGGAGGACAGATTAAGAAAAAATTGACTGATTATCATTAGACTATGCTAAAAACGATATCATCGAGTAACGGATAGCCTGGGTACGTAGGTAGATAAGGTAGGTAGGTAAGTAAGTACAGGTCAGTGGGTACGTAAGATGGTTGGTAGCCAGCCAGGTAGGTAGGTAGGTAGGTAAGTAAGTAGGTAGATAGGTAGGTAGGTAGGTAGATAGGTAGGTAGGTAGGTAGATTGGTAGGTAGGTACGTAGGTAGGTAAGTAAAAGGGAAAATAGGTAGGTAGATAAGGATGGTAGTTAGGTTAGTGGGTAGGTAGGATGGCTGGTCGGCAGGAAGGCAGGTAGGTAGATAGGTAGGTAGGTAGGCAAGTAGGTACGTCGGTTGGTCGGTACGTACGTACGTACCTACATCCAAACATGCAAACTTACATGTATAGACCTATTAAGTAACTATGATTGCTTGTTTAATTGCCTAGTGGATTAAAGATATGAGTTGAAAAACAACATATCGACATTCATAAGTTATGTCTTGAGCAGCTGAAATATTGGCGTAATTATGCACATCATAAAATTGCTGAAACCTGTTGTTCTTATTCCCTTTGAAAGCTCAGAAGTGCTGCAAGATAACTTTCTTTCTGATCCTGTGCTTGCTTGCGCCCCTGCATCAGACACATCTGTCAAAAAGAGTAACAACATTACTTTTTCTTCTATCTGTTCTAATACTCTCAACCTTATCATCTCTGTCTTGTTAAATAAAACAGCTTCTGCTCATACAAAACTAGCCTCCCACGCAGAAGTTTTTAGGGGTTCGTCAAGCGTTTCTGCCACACGAAAGAGGATTGCGTGACGAGCCAAAAGACTTTCTGCATGGGAGGCTAATACCAAACCCTTCAAGTATAAATACAGACCCGACTGCGTGTTTCTAATGCAATGTGCATGCTTAATCTAAAAATACCAACTATCACATTTCTGTAAATACTTTTCTGGTACTTATATACGCAATGGAAAGATTTTTTACTTCTTTTACCACGGAAAGTAATCCGAATAGCCCACATTGAGACATTGTTAAAATTGGTGGCCAACACTTTACTATTAAGCCCTGCATAAGAATTGCTTGCTTGTGACTTTGTTCAGTAATGTCACAATCCCCTTAAAGAAACTATTTTAACGACGCCCGAGCACAGATTCGGAGAGTAATCAGTAGCAGTGATAAGAAAAATTCGTTAAATTTCTCATGAAATTATCAAGAGATTGTCAGTCTTATTTTGAATAGGTAATATCCACCCTCACGAAAATATTGTTACCTTTAAGTGAGAACCATATTTTCAGTCCAGGCAGCGTAGGCATCTCACGCCTTTTTTGGCAATGCTTCGGTATCCCCTCTTTTACTTTCAGAAGGCACAGACAGTCCTCGTGAGTACAACACTTCTGTTTGTGGATAGAACAGGCCTCTTCATCTCGCAAACAGCCAGGGCATTCGACGCACAAGTCACACATCAGGTTTCTTAGCCAGGACACCTCGCTTTTTAGGGTCTGCACTGCCTCTTCCAAAAACGTTCGTATAGTAATAGCCACTTTGTTTGTTTCACCGAGCGACGCACTTTCCTCTGGTTGCGTCAAGATGATCTTGATGAATGTTTTCCTGCATAAGAGAATAAACTGGTGACAGGGATACTTCCCAATGAAAAACCGGGCAGCCCCATCGAAAAAATCTGGATTTTCTTGGTAACCATTCTCAGAGTACCATCTAGTACATCGTGACAAGAGCTGGAAAAAAAGACCGTGAGGCACAAAACCCCATTTAAAATTAAGGTAAAGTGGACATGGATCTGAAGGCGATAATTTCATTTCACAAAGGAATTTAGGTGGCGTCTTTAGTTGACAGGGTACATAGTACTTTTCATTTGTTGGCGGCGTGACAAACTTGACGATCAATCCGAACTGCTCCATCATGCTCAAGATATCCTCCTTGTTCAGGCCTTGCTGACAGTACTTGGAGAACACATGATCAACCAGCTCCATGTGGAGGGCACCTGACGTCTCCATTTCATTCCAAAGCTGGGAATGTCTCGGTTCCTAACAAATTCCGAAGAAGACAACACTTAAATTAATAACAACAAAATGCCACACCTGTTGACGATGTAAGCATCTTCATCTTTTTCTTGGGCGCTACCACAATAATATAAAGGATTGAAATGCATGGTGCCAAAAAAAGCATAAAACGTTGGATTATTTTTAAAAAGATTTTGGCATTAACGTATGAATTGAAAAGTTAGATAAAGCGTATGGCCATACAACAACTGTCCATTTTAAATGCCAGCTTTAAAAAATTTACAAGAACAGAATGTATTTAAGTAGATCAGGCAAAAAACTACCGCAGAATAGCAAAAACTAAATAAGATTTACAATGATCAAATTACATTTTATAGGGTTGTGACACACGAAAGATAAAGAGGAAATAAATATTAAATTTAGACGAATAAAAAAAACTAATAGATAAATAATATATAAATAAACGAATAAATAAACAAAAATAAAATACTCCTCAGAACAAAACAAAAAGGTACCAGATAACTATAAAGTTTACATTAATTAGGGTAAATCAAACAATTCTAGCCAGTATCAAAAGTAAGAGGATAAAAAATTTTCCTTCATCTTTTTCTTGAATATACGTAAATAACTACTTTCTAAATTTTCATCCAGATTATTCCAAACAGAACGGCTAGAGAAACATAGATTAAATTTACCGTAATTACAGTCGAACCTTCACTAACGGACACCTCCCCACAACGGTCACCTCTTATTACATCAACTCTTGTTTAAACCTTTCTACATCGGCAACGGCCACTAAAGCGTGTCCTCAACTGCCAACAACGGCCAGTTTTTTTGGTGACTGATGAAAAAGTCAAGAATGGTCATGAAATTTAATCCGTATAGCAAGTTGATGATAAATCACGCAATCGGCTTTTGATTGTGTTCCATTATACTGCTGCAGTGAGCATAAACTGTCTACGATACTTATAGCGAATGTTACGAACCTTGCTCGTTTTGCCACGTTAACATTTTGATTCGAAACATTAAGTTTTCTGTGTATTTTATCTCTATATACTAGTATATGATTGGATTACCATTATGGGATACAGTAAGCATGAACTTACGAGCAATGTACATGTTGTACTCCCTCAAAGCCAAACAAAATTTGTCACATTACACCCCTACCTCCCCATAACTGCCAACCCTCCACAACGGCCACTTTTTTCTGTCCCAAAGGTGGCCGTTGTAGAAAGGTTCGACTGTAGTTCTAACCTGATCAATATAATAAGTTGACTTTGATGCTAGCCTGGTATTATAGCCATGGTTAGATGATATACGTGAAAAGAAGTTGTCAAAAGCCTTACGTGAGCAATTTATGAAATTGAAACATTAAAAAAAGGCAGTATGAACAAGGTGACTATGTTGAAGTCAACACCGGCTCTAATAAACCTTTTAACCGATACGGCGGCCATATTGAATTTATTAGATTTAAGGAGTATTATTGTATGCCGAGGGAGCACTCGCTCAGTATTTACGCGAGAGTTTTGGGCAAAAAAAGAACTTAACTGAATATTTCTCGGGGAAAACGCGATCATTATTACATTCAAACAAGGCACAACGATCTTTTTTCCCATTACAATCTTTTGCTAGGAAAACTTGAAGAAAAATTGGCTAGAAAAGCGCGCGTAAATGTGGAGCGAGTATACCGGATCGTTCTCATGCCCCCTGGGCATCCTGTAATACTCCTAAATCTCATTAATTCAATATGGTTGCCGTATCGGTAAAAAGGTCTATTCAAAGCCAGCATTTACGCTCTTCAAAATAGATGTAACTGATTGCCCCCGCAAGGATTTCGCCCAGAAGGCGAAATCCCGAGGAGGCACTCTAGTAACTCGCGCGTATATTAAGGAAAGTACATACAGTTGAAATATACCGTCAGAAAAAATCTCGATTTGCCTGAACAGGGGCCGCGAGGAATCGGTAGGTAATGATGACGTTTCTATTGTTTGCCCCCGTAAGTACGAAATGACAGAACATCCCGAAGAGACCGCTTAGGTAGCTTTTGTGACAGTTATTGTGCAGTCATTCTTCGATACTCTTTCGCGTTACCTGTTATCAGTGACATTCTGTGGAGCAGTTGTTTTGAAAGTTACGGACCAAAAGACACTCATTAAGCTCAGATGAAGTTATAAGGTGCGTATAACTGTGTATATACAAACACTCTGGAGAGTTTGCCAGACACGAGTTCACAAATCTTTGATTGGAAACCTTGCCAGACACTCTTTCTTTCTCTTTGACCGGAATAAGACTTAGCCCCAAACAAGTAAGACGAGTGAACAACGGCTAGCTTATCACTAGCAGAACGATGGACGATTATAGAAATTCGCCGACAATCAAATTCTGTCCGCTAAACTTTAAAACATGACAAGAATGCGCGAGCGTGAATCGATCAAACGTCCTTTTAATTTCTAAGGGCCTGTTTACATGAAGGTGGGAGACCCCAGGTAGGTGAGGTAACCCCCTTCCGTAGGGTAAAAACATAACCCTCCTTTACATGCAATCTTACAACCCAGCCATCCCGGAGTGCACTTTCTCAAGATTACTGAATGGTGATTGATGCTGTTCTACACTTGCTTGCTGCTCTTGCTGCAACCTCCAGTGCTGTGGCTTTCTATTGCTACCTTAATAATGATGCAAAGCTACCGCCAAAGTGAATTTTGTGCGAATTCAGTATCGCCGCGAATCTGACCCCGGCTAGGCGGGTTACCCCACCTTGAAACATTTACATGGCAAAATGTGACCCCGGCTGAGAGGGTTACCCGGTCTGGCAGACCGGGCTACCCGCCTTGGCGGGTCACCCCACCTATCATGTAAAAGTGATCAAATTAAAATGCGAGATTATATGGACAGGCAGGTTACCCCACCTTAGCGGGTTACCTCACCTACCTGGGGTCCCCCACTTCCATGTAAATAGGTCCTAAGGCTCACTTTCCGGCAAATAAGATGAACTGAACGTAAAAAGTGAAAGAGAAATAGCGAAAAATTCAACTTCTAATTAAGTCTTTTCTTATGGTTCAGAATGAACTGTTCTCGAAAATAAGAATGTTTTGATCAAAGCTGTGTAAATCAAACTGAAACTGTGCATGGAACCTTGCGTTTCCTGTATTTATCTCACCTGTTGTATGGAATATGTGTGAAAATCTTCATTATGAATCGGTATACCTCAAAGAGCTACACAACGAGCATGAATACTATTGACCGACAAGGTACAGAGCGGAGGCAGCTGTAGTGTCAACTACTTAACAAGTATTGAATGAGGCTGAGTATCTTATGAAAAATTATGGAGATCGAGGAGGGTGTTATCCGTCGAGGCCGTAGGCCGAGGCGGATAACAACCTCCGAGATCTCCATAATTCTTCATATGATACGAAAGCCGAATTCAATAATTGTTTTATTATTCATTCAAAAGAATTCCCAGTTTAAAAACGTGGCTAAAACATGCTTACCTCCATCAATCCATCGATGTTAAGTTGATCTTCGATAGTGCACGTTTAGGTTTGTGCAGCTCCGCAAATATTCTCCAAATAGCAGATGTCGCCCTTCGAGTTGTCTTCTTCCTGTTCTTGCCATGTTTTTAGCTATTTTTTCGCCTAGTTCTTACTCTTGAAACGAGCGAAATGTCCGCCATTTTTCAAGTTCACAAGCAAAACAACTCAACCTCGTCCCCAGGTCTTCTCGGTTAACGGTGCCTTAACCTGCGAAAACGCTGCATTTTTGACGTCATTTCCTCGTTAAACACAAAATTCTTCCAAATTTGGTCATCAGTAACTGGTTATGGTGAATTAAATGTGTGCTTTTAGCCAATCAGAATCGGGAAAATATTTTGAATGAATAACAATACAGTTTAATAGATTACCCCATTCTCAGCAAATAATAACGCCGAGTAGGGTGTCAATTTTAGCTTCAAATTTTGTTCGTTTTAAATGTTATGATTCATGTATCACGTCTAGTTTTTCTTATTTTCTTTCTTTTCCTCACCCCCCACCTCGATTAGCTTACGCTAACTGCAGGTTGGGGGGAAATATTTCCTTTTTTTTTCCATTCACTTTTTTATTCTTTGTGATCTGTCTGCTATGAAATTAAGTTATTGTTGTTGTTGGTTGTCAGACTACCAAACGAAATAAACAATATGAATCGAAATCGACCAAAACATTTAAAAACCATTGTCTAATGAAAAATTTCGCTTTCTTAGAAAGTTTGCTATCAATCTTTAAATTTTGTGCTTCGAGTAATTTTTTGTTTTCTTACGAGCTGCTGACTGGCCCAAAACCAACTTTCTTGGAAAGTACTCTAATTTTCCTGTCGTCCGATTGTAACCATTACGGTTACAGTAGCCACACTGTAACTGTAATACATCATGCAAGTTTTTTTGTATTTTGGCAATACATTATATAAGTGGAATATTGAGTTTCAGGAGATTTGATCGTAGGGTTTAGTAACAAGATCTTAGGCAAGTGGTATAGCAGAGTTTTTTTTTCGTTGTTTGTGGAACACATTAGGTAGCTTAAGCAACCGTGACGACAATCGCGTCTATTTGGGTCTTTCTGCAGGTACCGTCATCACAAAAGAAACAAAGGAACCATGAGGGCTTTCTTGTTTGGTTGTTTTGTTTCTTTTGTTATAGCGGAGCTCTCGCGCGCGAAGCGCGCCAGCGGCGCACCATGGGTAAGAAAATGAAGTAATCTACCCATCCGAGAAAATTTGGTAACCACGTGACCGTACACCCCCGCCCGAGAGACCGTCCGTCCGCACCACAGGTATACCAATGTAAAATAACTCAATCAACAGGTATTGCAACCCAAATGCAACTCGAGGTTATTTTGGCGGGAAATCGCATAGCCACTGGCGTCTTGTAAAGCAGAGACAACAAAAGAGTCAATAAAGACTACGGAAAGCGGAAATTGTCTCTGTATCCGTGTTGTCTAAAGTATTAAACTTAGATAAATTGTCATGTCCCCAAATTTGGAATATAGAGCAAGAGAGAGACAGAGAAAAAGAGAAAGTGGGCGGCAGGCCAGCGAAGCTCAACGAAAAAAAGCGCGACAGGGATTTAGAGCGAGAGATGAAAAACCGAAGGAGACATTTTTTTGTTGGAAAAACAACATGAAAATTTTGTGTAGCGGCGGTGACTGAAATGAGAAATGCCAGTGGCCACCAATGCAAGGTGGAAATGAGCGGCAGTGAAAAAAAGTGAACGGGAACACGTACGACATTTCCTCCATAAAACGAGTAACTAAGAAGTTTCTGGAAGTTTCACGTTGTAGTCGTGCAAAACAACGGCAAAGAAATGTACCAAAAAAGTGTGCTGCACGTGCAAAGTTCAGTGTTTTTGCTAATTAAACCTATTGTTGTTTTTCACCGGTTTTCCGGCGTTGCATGCCTTCCCCGCTTAGCATTACACGATTTTATATTTTGTTTGAACAAACTATAAATATTATCGAGAGCTTCGCTTTTAGCCCTGGCTAAATCTATATATTACGTGTTTTAATCTGTGCCTCCGTACCTACAGAAGGGACCGTCTATATGTATTGGCTCTATTTTTCAAATGTAGGCCGTTTTCATAGAGTTGCATTCTTAAGGACTTTATCCATGTTCAAAAAGAGAAAGGAAAATTCGTCCTCGTATGTTCGCGTCCCCCATAAAACGTTGCATGCATAGGACGCTTCACGTCGTAGTCGTGCAGTGGACGCAAAATCACTTTTATCGCCACGTTTTCACTGCCGTCGTCGTTATCGTTGCGTAAGCTCCCTATGTTAATCAATAAAAATGCAGGCTACGGAAATTTTAGCCTAGATCTAGTTTACTCTTACAAAGTTTGATCTATGCTATAAACGTAAGAGGATGTTCTTAAGTGGTTACTGTATGATAAGTTAACTAAGGGATATTTTATTGGGATGTAATGTCAGGTATCACGAATATTCAGTTATTAGTTGTTTAGAATGCCTTTACAAGTTGGACGTTTAAAATAGTCATCAACATAAACCTTCTCCTTTCATGAATTCGTTCTTTAACAAATATGTTCTATTTTAGTACACTTCCACGACTTCCACGACAGCCCTTTTACCGTAAAAAAATGTTCAATTGAGGTTCCCAACAAAGGCTTGTTTACATTTGAAAATGTCGCATGGTTTGATATTTCAATCTTAACTTGACTCCTCCTCTAGATTTCTAGGAAATAACCTATATTCTTATTTTGGTTAGTTTTTAGCTTGTTCAGTTTCCCGTGTTTTCGATCGAATTCATATAGTTGATGGTTTCTATCTGCAACTTAAAATATTCTAAAAATAATGGTATGCAATATCTCCCACTTAACAGGTGTTGGTTCAAGTAAAAATCTATTCGGTTGTAATTTCTGCTCTCTACCGCGAACTGCATTTTTAATTTGTCACCTGAGTTTCCAATCACGTACGTATTTGATTTATGGAAAAGTTCTGACCAATCACTTTCCGAGAAGAAGCTTCACACCTCTCCGAAATCGACAACAATGAAGTCAGGATTTTCAAACTGTACTTTCCTATCTGCTGATACGAAAAGTTTGTAAAAGAGTTTTTGTATTGTTATCCTTGTTTTGTATTGGCCAGTTGTAAGCTTAACAGTAAAAACTTAGATCGAAAAAACATTTTGACAAAGTAATTATCTCGAAGGTTTTATGCTAATCAGTCTGTGTTAACCAATCAGAGAAGACTTGCCTCAGCATTAGTTCGCACTAAGCAGTTGGTTTTCTGGCTGATATAAAAATGGGTGTAACACTAATTTACCACAGAGAATTGTAAGAACAAGAATCTAAAAGGATATTACACTCTTGAGCAATAAATAACCAGTAAGTCAAGAAGAAGTTGTCTTTGAGAAAAGGCTACAGCTAGTCACCGCCAAAAAGTCTTGGGCGACGATGGATACATATCATTTTGATGGAATGACGCTATTGTTGACCTCTGGAAAACTTGTAACTAACAAGGTTTCAAAAGACCAAGGCAATAGTTAAGGTTGGGTCCTTGGTTTGTCTTTTAGGTTTGAGATAATTAAAAGGTGATAATCATCCTCCATGTAAATGAATCCGCGCCAGGGTTTCTGCGACAATGGTAAAGCAGGGAATTTGTGGCGGTGGGATGGTGTTTTCTGGGGAGTCCATTGCAGTATTAGTAAACTGTTAATGTTGATATTATTATCCACTTGAATATGTTTTACTTACCATTTCTCTGAAAGGGCGAATAGTTATGAGTTGTCTGAATACCTCAATGAGCCATTGAGCCCGCAGTACAACGGTGCTGCGGTGTCTGACAATCACACCAAGATCATGATAGAAATCCAACATAGTGGCAACTTCATCCTCGTCTTCGATGAAGCAAAACGTCTGGATATAACCTTGAAGTTGTTCGAGGTTTAAGTAATACAGTTCCTCAGCAATTAAAGCTTTGACGACCTTCTCAAAGTTAAACCATCTAAAAACCAAATATAAAAACAAAAGCTTAAAGCAGAAGTTAAAGCCAATACTGAAGCCTTGATCTCTGCTACTAGAATAAAAAAATGTAAATGTGTCAGAACAACTTTAAACAGCTGACATACGTATGATCCTGGTGAAAAGTTGACAATTCGGCACTGTACGCTTGTACTACACGTTTCTTTCTAGTATGTGCTAGTACGCAATGGAGAATACAGGAAAAACCCGCCACTAAGAACCTGTATTTTCTCAAGTTAGCCGAAACAGGTTCTTACATGAATGGTAATTAGCACAAATTTAGGCTATTTGGGTTCCTAAATGGGTTCATATTTTCTGAAGAAAAAATACATTCCTGATTGTAGCTAAGGGCATTTAGTGGTACTCAGCGTATTCCTTATATAAAATCTGCGAACCATTACATCGCTGTTGGAGTGAAATAGCCTGTGCCAGGCTATCGGTTAGTGCAGACGAGCGAAAAAGACGGGCGGGCAGTGGAAAAACAAACGAGCAAAAAACGGCGGAAAAAGAGAAGGGGAGAACCTGTAAGTATCTTTGTACTGCTGTGGCAAATGAGGCACATGAAATGGAAATGGCAGATGTGATTCAGTATTTCCACAATAGCATTAAGTGTGCACCTAAATATATTATGTGCGTGCTGTGCTTAGTTGTGGTACCGAATGTGATGCTAACAAAATACACTAACTGCAAAAAAAAAAAAAATCTGTTCAATGCATAACTGGTAAAACTAGTGTACACAATGCCAAAAGGGTTTGCTCAAAATATACTTTGAAAAATGCAAGAAAGACTTGTTTGCTATGATTCGTATATGAGAAGCTAGTAATGACTCAATTTAAGTATATAACATGTAAAGATTATCAGTGAGAGAAAATGAAATACGGTGAAAATATAACATTTGAGCGATTTCTGGAAAAATCAGAGTTAATTGAAGGCATGCCAATAATAAAAATGACTAGATATAGGCACCTACTGTCACATGTTCCCTTGAATAGCCAGAAAAGTCCAAGCCCCTTCTCATATGTTTTTATCGTAAAATGGCGTTCACGGCTATCCGAAGACGAAATAGCTGAATTTCTCACTAAAACTGAGCGTAAAACATATTGCTCAATGGATACTATCCATTTACGGAGTAGATGCAAGCGTGGATGTCCACGGTTTGGAAACACAAAACGAAAATGGTAAAACAGTGAACCGCCGAGAGTTCAACTTCTTCATCTCACAGGACTGAAATACAGCCAAACATGGCTGTAGAAAAGTAATTCGATCTCATCGCCTGAAAAAGGCTAGCAGTAGGCAGTCGAAAAGTCGCGGCAACTACATAATGATACAAACAAAAGCTATATTCTTGAGTTTATTTCTAAATGGAATTATACCGTATTGCCTTCTTGCAAAACTTACAGTAAATACAGTAACTGGAATAGACAGCGAGAGGTATGTTTTTCTTGACTAAATAACTTACCGAACTGGTACCCTTTCTCCCATATATGGTTCTTGTCTCAAAACTTTCATCATTCCTTTCTGAAGTGCGACCACTCCCTCATCAGCTGAACCTTGAGTATTATCGACAGAGAAAAAATCAGGGATCACGTGAAGCCCTAAGTCCTTTCCAAAAATTTCCTGCTGAATCTGCAATTCCATCTCTTTGATGTCTTCGTGTGGTTCATCTGCATGTGTTCCCACGATGAAGACTGGAGGGCGACAGTACGGCAGATCTTCCACTTTCGATGGTAAGCACATAGTCCTTACAGAAACCAGCCACGACAACAAATTTTCCAAATTTGTTTCCTTATTTTGATTACTGAGATGACGCTTTAGAGTTCCTTGCTTGAAACAGGGCTCTGCAATGTCCTTTAATCCTTTGCTGAGATCGTACACTAACATGTAAACGGCTCGTGGCGATAAAAAAACTGGGTAAGACGCATAGTAAAGATGTTGACCAGCAAAGTCCCATAGATCAAGGGTCATGTGATGTTCCACAGTTGAAGCATCACTCTGAAGGTTTAAACCTTTTAAACGTTGAACAAGATGATCTTCAAATTCTTCAGGAGGCAATGTAGAGTCGATGTTTAATTCACCTGGGACGCCTGTTTTTGTCACTTCATTGTTTACTTTGGCTGTACCCTAAAATTAATGTGTTAAAATTGGTTAAAATTCTACTTTTTAAATATAATAAAATATGTCTATTGGGGTGCAGTGCCAGAGACTCGACAGCGATTTTGTTTTTTCCAAAGACTATGTTGTAGTTAAATTTTATCCTTGGTTTAAATTTTATTTTCCTTGGTTTTGGGGTATGGTAATTTATGGTAATGACTTTGAAAAACAGAAAATAACACTTAAACAAAGGATAAAATTGAACCACAACAGTGATCTATCTCAAATCTTGTAGTTTCACCATTCTGCAAGCCGTTGAAATCTTGAAATTTAATATTCTGCATGTCAGACATTGAAAGATTGAAATTTCAAAATTCTGCATGACAGACATTGAAAGATTGAAATTTCAATATTCTGCATTTCGAATCTTCCCATTTAAAAATTTGGCATGCAGAATCTTGAAATCTTACAATCTTGAAATGTTAAACATTCAAGATTTTGCATATTGGAATTTTGAAATGTCAATATTCTACCTGCCAAATCTTTGAGTTTTAATATTCTACATGTCTGAAATTCAAATTTCAATATTCTGCTAGCCTGAGTAGCTGGCAGGATTAGCGTGGGAGTGCTGTATGATTTGGCGGCGGAGCCGTGAGAAGAGTGGGTATTCAAGTCAATTTGAAGTCCTGCCTGCCACAATTCCTGGGTCTTTTGAATAGTCCACAGCCAAGCTTACGGGAGTTCCTAATTGGCTGAGAGGCGATAAAACGCCAATCAAATATTAATTGCTATCTCTACTGTCTCCCATTGGAAAGTTAGTGAGTACATGTGGAAATGAATCAAACTTAGCGAGCTATAAACCGGCTCCACTCCACTCCACAATAAGATTTCCGCTTGAAAAAAATCCTCGAAAGACATTTTTTTGAGGAAACTAGATCTCAAAATTTAAGACACGTCTTCTGCTATCCTTTAGTCGAAAAGAAACTGACCTCTTTGTACGACAGGAAATTGGCTATATAACAAAAGTGCATCAGACAATAATGCCTTTGTCAGGCAGTCCAAACCGCCCTGATCCATCCGAGCTCAACATAAAAAGAGCGCTTGATCATTTAAAACTTGAACCTTAAAAATACGGGTGGAGTATGCTGAAGAGGATTCTTGTTTTTGACTGAGCAAATGATCTTTGCCGATTGAGAGGTCATGAGGCCGATGTGTTTCCTGTGCATTCCAGCATTGATTTCCTGTGGTCTTTGTGTCTGACAGAATTTGACCTCTGAAGCATTTTAGAGAATTCTTTGACCTCTTTTGAAGTATAAAGCTTTTTATTGCCGCTAAATGGCCGTTTAAGAGCGACGGTCAGGAAATATCGACCATCGAGTGGCAAGAGTTGAAAATCGATTTCCTTCATTTTTTGTCCATAAATAGCTTTTAGGTAGATAAGTAATCTGATGTAAGTTGTTCTCGCAAAAAGCCTTTCATTTTCGAGAAAAGTATAAGAATATCAGTTTTCGTATGGTCGGAGTCTCAAAATGGCCGTATTTTCAACTCGAAATTTGCTAACATCAACTCTCCTCGCATTCGCAAATAAAGTCGCAAGAAGAAATTTGGACACATTCCATCAATAGAACAATTCTTCTTATAACACTAGAAGATACTTGCCGCGCGGCAGCTTGGCCGTTTTGGCATGACTGCTCAACTCAAGAAAATGGCGAAGGAGTTCACAGTTGTCATGGCGAAGTAGAAATGGCCGAGTTACTGACTAAAACGAATCGAATGCACGAACACGCAAAAAAATACAGGGTCCGAAATTGCGCCTTCCTGGTCGCCAGTGCGACTAAAAATTCAGTTCTGGCGACCAGAATTTCATAGCTGGTCGCCAGCTGGCGACTTGTAGGGCTGGTTGTTATCGTAGACTTTCACATCCGGAGAAAATGATTAAGAATTCAAATCTCGAAGCTATTTTGCCAACAGTTGTCTTTTGTCCTGCTATATTTTCTAATTAAAAGTGAAACGAATCTTCAGGTAAATATGCCTCCACAACAGCTACAATCAATACGAGTTGAACATTTCCAAGCCGCCATGTTTTTTTCAGCCGAACTACGGTAAGTGCGTTATGTATATGGAATTATACTGTACCCAAATGCTACAAGTAATGTGGCGCTGTTGTGGCACGTGTACGAGCAACATGGCGGCTTGACTCGTGACTTGTGTTTATGTTTCGTGGTAGTTATCGGAAGAAAATAGAGTTTTGATATGATAAGTGCAGTCATGGGCAGATAGCTTTCTGTTCCTACGTTCTAGGTCAGATAGCTTTATATCTCCAAAAAGTAATTTGTGAAAAAAAATAAGTAATAAGACTTCACTTGTACACGTACATTTACGGTTGTTTTCTGGTATTTGGAGCGGAAGTAGTACAATTTTTGAGCACAAAAATTTCCATACCATGCATTTTTTATTCGTGTTTAAACATTTATTTGAAAAAAGGGAGGGGAAATTTTTGGCGACCACAATTTGCCTTCTGGAGACAAAAAAATTCATGCTTGCTCGTCAGTTGGCGCCCATGTTAAAAATTTAATTTCGGACCCTGAAATATCGCTCGATAGACGTCAAATGCTATTGTTTCAATGGTCCTGCTCAACACAACTGCATAATGGGTAAGACCATCTAACTGGAAGTTTTAGCATAATTTAAAGAGCAACAACTGTCCGATTTCTACAAACTGCTGTCCATGAAATAACTAAAAATGTGCACTCCTAGAAGAAAAATCAGATTCCCCACACGCCAGCTAAAAGCCTGCTTAAGTGTACGGTTTGACCAAAGGCGGCCTAGACTCTATGGGAGTTCGTTGGAACTTGAATTCTATAACAGAATGAACCAGCGTTTTCGTTTCAGGTCGGACGCAACGTCCGGTTTCTTGACAAGTGATGTCCAGTAGTTCACACACAAAATAATTTTTCGCGTATCGTCTATCATCGGGGATTCGTACACTCCTTTCGATTGGAATTCGTTTTGGAATCAGCTAAAAAACGAACAACTGCAAAACGATAATTATAATTGCCAAATCAAATATTTCATTTTTGGTGAGCGGTTTTTAATGCTGCCTTAAAAGACCTTCCCGGTTAACTAATTCCGGTCCAGGGAACGCAGGAAATAGCATTTAAGAGAGTTTAATTTTCAAAATCTCCCCAGGAACCCCCAAGAAGTTCGGTGTAAGTCCATCAGCTGAACCTCTGCATCCGGTAATTCCAAATGCTTCCCGATGCACGAGAACGAAGTGACAAAATACGTGCCAAATTTCGCTTTTTGAAAAAGTCGAAATAATAAGGACTCACTTTTAGTTTGTGTTGTGTGTTTTGCAGTCAGTTCGCTTCTAGAGCCGGAATTTTGAACGTAGTTTGTTTGTTGTTATACATTCCCTTATAAAATTCAAATTCCAACGAACTCCCATAGAGTCTGGGGCCCGTTTCTCGAAAGGCCCGGAAACTTTTCGGGCCAGAAGGCAAATTTTAAAATCAAAACTTGTTGAATAGTAGCACAGTTCCTAGCTCACAAACCAGTCAATTTTTCTTCGTTAACTGCGGGTTCATTATATCATTGTCAAAGTTATTGAAACTTTGATCTTTAATGTAAATAGGGCATACATAAAATAGCTTTCCGGGCCCGAAACGTTACCGGGACTTTCGAGGAACAGGCCCCTGGCCTGCCTGTGGTATAACCAAACCTTGCACCAAAATCTTACGTCCAAGTTGCATTTCATCAATAAATGGAAAGCCTCCAAACTAACAAGACGGCAAATGAATAAAGAAATGAAAAAATGATGAACGAGAAAAAAGACTACGGTGGATTAAGAAAATTGTGCGTACCTCTGAAAATACCCTCCATAGGTCCCCTGGGGTTTCTTTTTCTTTTCCATCTTCTTTTACTTCTTTTTCTTCCTGTTCTTTAACATCGTTGTCGTCGACTTTTTCATCACCTCCTCTGTCATCTTCCTCTTTGTCTCAGTCTTCTTGGATTTCTCTAGCTACCATCTTGGCAAGATCGGACATAAATTGAGACACACCAAGATTTTCATTGGTGAGTTTCCAGTTCTTAACTTGATCGACTTTAACTTCGAACTTCGATGGATCAACTTGAATTCCGTCAGTACTGTCTTCCTGAGGGTCAAAAGGAAGACCTAAAAAAGATTTCTTCAAACTTGTCTTGCCTGCTCGATCTTTTCCCATCAGCATGATTCGAGCACGGTACAACTTCACTTCTCCTTTCTTTAAAGCGTTTTCATAGGCAAGCTTTGCTCTTGGTCCTCGTGCTTTAATCTCGTCCGGAACTCCATCTAAAAAATATTTAAAATACAAATCTGAGTCAAAGAGATAAAAAGTACTATATTTCTCCAGATTTTCTCAAGAGAGTTTTTATGGGTTGTTACCTGTTACCGAGGACCTGAATTGTTGAGGGAGCTAACAAGAAAACCAGCTGGTTCGTTCAGCTTTCTAGCAAGCACATTATTTTCATTAAATTTAATTAATGTTCTCTTTGTGTTTTCCTCTATTAGAGTGGATTCATTTACAACATACGTGTATAACTGTCGCATTTTCCCGCTGAAATTTTTGTTGTTGTTTTTAGGCCTAAAACCAATAAAAAATTCCAGCGGGCAAATGCGACAGCAATACACGTTTGTTGCAAATGAGTCCACCCTAAAATTGTAATGCACTTATCAGTGGCAATTCCGGGGGGGAGGGGGGAACCCCGGGGACATACGCGGGCATGGCGCGAGATTGGTCATATGTGTTCTTTAATTTTAAGCCCGGGATGGGGGGATTGGATTGCTTTTGCACTTTCGTAGCAGGATCCCCGGGGGAAGACCCGCGGGATTTGCAGCGCCGCCGCCATTTTGCAGATGGAGCTGGAAACGAGTGCCGTTCCCGTCTTCGAAAGGACTGGATACGTTTGGTGAACACCTTCTGGCAAAGTGGCGACAGAAAAGACGGTAAACGACTTTCATATTTCTCTTGTATTCTGTTCCTTTTAGCTATTAACGACTATATTTTTCAGAAGAAAACTACGAAACCTTCTATAGAACTCTTTTAAAATATTGCACCTTTTGACTTGGCAGAGCACACTTTTTGGCCTCCAGGGGAGGGGCGTTAGAATCATTTTGTTAACCAATCTTGGTTTTGGGTAATAAACGTCGTTGTACAAATGACCAGGGGTTCCGCGGGGTCATCCCCACCGGATGGCCGCTGATAAGTGCATAAAATCAACCATTAACATCGATAAAAGCATAATAAAGATTATTCTATTCCATTCCATTCCATTCCATAAAAAGGTTAAAGAAAACACAAAATAAAGCCTGGTACTCATATGCCGCCGACCTGCCTACGACGTAGCCTAGCCGCTGGTGCTGCCTGGAAAACTGTTCCATATGAGAAGAGAAGTGAACGGCAACAGAGGCCGTTCCAATTCATTATCACCGGCATGCCTCGAGTTCAACTTTGAAGGCATGCCAGAAATAAAGACCTGCGAAGTCTCTTGTTGCCGGCGGGGTATGTTCTGATATGTTAAAACAGTATCTCAGGCAGTATTGGCTGTTATGTCGCAGGTAGGTGGCCGCGGCATATGAGAACCAGGTTTAACTAGTACATCGATCGCTAAGAACATCTGTTTTTATTGACTCGCTCGTTTCACACGAAATATCGAGGTATTCACACATAAAAAGAGCAACCGTGGAAAGTCTCTGAAGGGAGATGAAGAATCACTAACATACATTTACTGACACCACAGCCATAAACTAAATCTGAACGCTTTATGATTTCCTCAAGTCGGCTTTCCTTAGTGCACTTTTCAAAATACTGAATACTCACAGGATTTTGATCAAACCATTAATATATAGAGTTAGCCAGGGCTAAAAGTGAGGCTCTTGTTACTATACTATAGTTTACGCACAGAAAAATAAAATCGTGTAATGTTGATCGACGAAACCAACGAGAACCGCAAAACAAAACAAAACAAAACAAACCTTGGTCTAATTAGCAAAAAATCAATTATGCACGGGCAGCACACTTTTTTTGCACATTTCTTTGTCCTTGCTTTGCACGACTACAACGTGAAACTTTCTGGTTACACCACAGGTAACCCAGGCTCTGTGATAGTACCACAGTACGGTTCCAGTAAAATTACAGTGTTTGTATGGGGTAAAAATATCATCCTAAAATTTCTAGGAAATACTAAGTAAAGATCAATGAAACTTACTCTGCAGTTAATTGTTGTTGTCCTTATTGCTCCAACGAAGTTTCGTGATAATTTGCAGTAATTTGTTCAAATTCACTCTATCTACAATAATAATATACAAGGTAGGAAACACGAGGTGCCATTTTCGCCGACATGCTCTCATTCAACACAACTTTTTCCACGAAATTCGAACTCCAACGGAAAATAAACATGCCAGGATCGTAGAAATAGGATAGCAGCAGATATAGAAACCAATGAAGCTTTCCCAGATAGAGAAACGAATCCCACAGACTTGGACAAACTCGAAGAATATAATCCAAACACACCGAGAATACGCTCACCGAAGCAGCCGGGCCAGATCAACGCGCGGCCAAGAAAATGAGGCCTGGGCACAGTACAAAAAAATTCCATCCCGGGAGTCCTGGGGTGACCTTTCTAGGGACTGATACATCATTTGCCCAAAGCCACCCTCCCCTGCAGGAAAAATACTTGATAGAAGGCAATTGTTCTTCATAGCCAATCACCATTTGCCATAGCAAACCCGCACACGCGCCTGAATTTAAATGGATAAAAAAAAAGTAATATAATCAGGAGAGTCTGCGGAGTTACAAGGCGTCCCATTTCTTTACTAAGGAATGCAAATAACAGTAATGAAACTAATGAAATAACAACGCGAAATGCTTAGGAGGCGGGCTAAAAACAAGGTTGAACAAAAGGTAGATGATGACTGAGATACTGTTGCTGTCAACTCTCTAGCGAAACTATCGTAAATAAACGGTGAAGCTTACAAACTAATGTAAAAAATTATACAGAAAATTGGGACAGAATATGAATTGCGATAACTGAGAAGAATGTGAAAGGCACGTGCACTAGTAAACAAAGAACTAGCGCGATTAACATATTTAGCGATTAATGCGGCAGTAACACGCCGACTTCTTGTCAATACAAGTGAACCCTCTTTCGGTTAAATATGTGAATCATCGTGATACACCTCTCTTTGAATTTGGTCCTATTGTACAAATGCCTCGGTAAGAGCCAAAATTCACTTATATCTTTTGCTCGTTTTAAGTTTTGTAAATCGTCCTTCGTTGCTCTTTCCTTTGCCCTTATAACCTTGCCCTATTGATGTTTGATAAACTTTCTGAGGACCAGCGCCAGGAGCTGAATATAGTTCCAGAGGAAAATAATCTCTTTATAACAGGCCATAGTGATTGGCTAGGAAGAACAATTGCCTTCTATCAAGTACTTTTCCAGCAGGGGAGGGTGGCCTTGGGCAAATGATGTATCGGTCCCTAGAAAGGTCACCCCAGGACCCCCGGAACGGATTTTTTTTTGTATAGTGCCCAGGCTTCATTTTCTTGGCCGCGCGTTGATCTGGCCCGGCTGCTTCGGCGAGCGTATTCTCGGTGTGTTTGGATTATATTCTTCGAGTTTGTCCAAGTCTGTGGGATTCGTTTCTCTATCTGGGAAAGCTTCATTGGTTTCTATATCTGCTGCTATCCTATTTCTACGATCCTGGCATGTTTATTTTCCGTTGGAGTTCGAATTTCGTGGAAAAAGTTGTGTTGAATGAGAGCATGTCGGCGAAAATGGCACCTCGTGTTTCCTACCTTGTATATTATTATTGTAGATAGAGTGAATTTAAACAAATTACTTCAAATTATCACGAAACTTCGTTGGAGCAATAAGAACAACAACAATTAACTGCAGAGTAAGTTTCATTGATCTTTATTTAGTATTTCCTAAAAATTTTAGGATGGTATTTTTACCCCATACAAACACTGTAATTTTACTGGAACCGTACTGTGGTACTATCACAGAGCCTGGGTTACCTGTGGTTACACGTTTTATGGAGGAAATGTCGTATGTTCACATAAAAAATTTTGTTGCTTGTGTCCCTGTTCTCTTTCTTTTTCACTGCCTCTAATTTTCACCAGACTGGCCGCTAACATTTCTCATCTTCTCACCACCGCTTACAATTTTCATGTTGTGTTTCTAACGAAATTCGTCTCCTTTCTTTTTAATTTCTCGCTCCAGCTCCTTCTCTGCTATCCACGTCAGCGAAGACATTAAAGGGGCTGTGTCAAGGCCGTCCAGTTCATTTTTTTGTATTTTGCCCATTACTCGCCCTCAATCGCTATGGAACTTAAAGTAGGCAAAAAAATTACATGTAAATGACAAAATCAGAGATTAAAGACAAACAAGTATGTCCCCTGAGCATTATTTTTGAAGCTGTAAACAGCAGAGATAAACTTTGAAAAACTGTTAGGCTGAACAGTTTTCAAAAACCCTAATTTCAATTCGTTTTAATCTTCTTAAGTTTTGCCCATCCGTGGCAGCTGTTGCACCTTGTGTTATATTAACCTTCTATTAACCTTTTCCTTCTTATGTTTCTTTTAATTAAACGGGCATTTTGCAATAACCTAATTTGGCTGAATTTCGTGACACAGCTCCTTTAAAATTTAGTCGAAAAAAAGACTCGGCTTTGTCATTGTGTTTTCTCTCTAAAAGTCCGGGTGGCCAAGATGACCATAACGTGGACGTCTATCTTCAAGTCAACAACAGGACAAAGGCTCCACTCAAAAAAAGGTCAGTTCACATTGGTTACCCTTTGGTGCGGGGGCAGGCCGCATGGTCACGTGACTACCAAAATTTTTCGGATGCATGGATAACCAAATTTTCTCCCCCATGGTGCTCCGCTGCGCGCGCGAGAGCTCCGCTATCACTAAACCTTTTCGTTTCCTCACGCACTAAAGTAGAACGGGACTTTGAAACGAAAATAAACATGAAAAATAAATGAAGTTCATGCCCATGCCCCAGTGTGTTTCTGCTCTCCACGATGATACAATATAACCTTGTTTAATAGTTGTATAAATTTTACAAATGTACACCTCTGTAATTATTGCACGAAAATCTTTGTTATCGTTGTAAACACATGTGTCTGTAGGCGCTCTGTTGATAATAAAGCACTTATCCTATCCTATCCTATCCTACACAGTAAGCCACTTTTCTGGCAAGTTTAGCAATTCAATGGTTAAGCAACTGTCTGCAACGAAAACGAAACCCTGGTACCCTGCGTTGTTTGTATCCTGATTTCTGCTCCTCTTTATATCTGTTGTAAATTACGGATGGATAACAGAGACTACTGAAACGTTTTTGGCAAAAATTGGACTAGTTATAGACCAAACGGAAACGAACAGTTATTGCGGCCCCATTGAATTAAAAACACTTTTGCCTTTTCTAGTTTCAATGGGATCTTCTGAATCTGGGTGTTTTTCTAAAACAGTTGACCCGCCAAGTAAAAGTTAAGGGAAGTAAAAATATGGCAAGACCAATCAAACGTAGCATTTTATATGTGCCGAATTAAATTTGGGAATTAAACGACGCATGTGAAGCGCGACGTCCCAACAGTTTCAAATTAAAAACTTGATAGTACGACTTTCGCAGAATTGGCGATGAACAGCCGAAGATTCTAGTAGTTCGTCTGGTTATGCGTCTTGAGTATGAAGACGGGCACAAGACGCATTATGCGTCTAGACGAAGTATCTTTCGTAGTGGGAGCAAAATGTACTGTGTAGTAGCGACTTCGTGAAACGGCTAAACAATTTAACCTACCTGCAGGACCACGCGCGAAAAATGAACAGTCATGTGGCACTGATCATGCAAAACCGTAATCGTAGTCCGTAATTCGTAGTCCGCACTCATCGCATCTCAAAGTCCCTCGTGAAACCTGTATTAAGAGGACTCTATATCAAGCGGACACCCTGCATTAAGCGGACGAAAAGCTCAGTGTGTTTTAAACCACGTTTCTTCCCATATTTTAAGCACAACGAACCTGTATCTAGCAGACACCGCTATCACAAACGGACACCAGCGAAGGTCCCGTGGGTGTCTGCTTAATACAGGTTTCACTGTGTGCATACACACGAAATTTGCAGACTACCAAAATTGATTAAATTCATTAATCATAACTATTTTTTTATCCCTAAGTTTGATTTCTTACCATAAACCATCTTCCACATCCTTTCAACAAGGGACTGACACTGTCTCTCCCAACTGAATCTTTCTTCATAACTTCTTCGAAGACGTTGGACTTCCTCAAGCCGCTGTATCCTTGGTTTTTGACGGATAGCATCAATTGCCTTTGCCCATTCCTTGGGGTCATCAGAATCGATCACGACTGACTTGCCCTCAGTAAGACCACGCAGTGTTCGTCCGAATCCGGAGTTTCCACTAACTAGAATGGGAAGACCAGCTGACATCGCTTCCAGTGCTGTCAACCCAAATCCTCCAGTTCTTGAAGGCATGATGGCCACATCGACTTCGCAAAACAACTTTCTCAATCTTTGCTTGTCTTTCAAGAATGATCTGACAAACAACTGGTTTCTTGGAATGCCCGTCTGGCATAACATTTTCGCGACTTCATCCTGTTTTCCATCAGGTGCACCAACAAAGATCAGATGGTAAGAACTGTCCATCAATTCAACTATTGCTTGAACGGCAATGTCGTATCCTTTGAGACTGAAGTCTTCTAAATCACCACGGCCAAAGGTTAACACCTTGAACTTCGCATTCGCTCGCGTAGTAGCATGCTCAACCACTGAAAACTCTTTAAAGGTGCCTGGCACGAACTGGAAGACATCTTGATGAGATGAACGCAAGTAGGACGAGAATACTTCCTTCAGCTTTGGTCCAACTGCCACAACGAGATCTGCAATTTGGCACAAGTCAACTTCAGCTCTGTTCCTTCCTTCCCTTTTGGCCATGGCGTTAGCATAGTTCTTATACATTGCTAGCTCTTCAGGTTCAGTGTGCTCAAATTGTATCCACTTGCAACGATGAAACCGTCTGATGATTTGTGCTTGTCTACCGAGCTTTACACCATGACCGATCACAACTTGAATGTCAAGATCTCTTGGTGGAGAGCTCAACCAGTCAAGAGGATCACTAAAGCCAGGGAGATGACCTGCTTCTCTAATGGAAATGTTTTGTGAACTCTGGCAGCTCTCTTGTCTTCTTCACCACACATAAATTCAGGTACAAGAAAAGTGACTTCTACGTTTGGGTGTTTTGCCAAATGTATGGCAAGCGTTCTGTTGATTGTTGGCAAGCCACCCTTAGATGACCCCCACTCATTAGCCAGGAGGGTAACTTTCAAAATTGAAGGCTCTGGATGACTTTGTGTTGTATCAGAAAAGGCTGAGTGCAATTCCTGAAAGTAAAGATCATACAAAATTAACGCCATAAGCAGAAAAATGTAATTAAGTTAGAAGCGTTTTACTTCTTTCAATTTTAGGGAATACAGCGGGGAAACCACTTGCTTTTAAAGCACTGAGGATGATGTCGATTTTTCATGTGAGAAACTTAAAAAGTAAAAAGCCAAGAGGAAACAAAGTGCAAGAAAAATAAAGCAACTCAAGTTTATGACAAGACAATCAAGTCTCGATGTGTGATAAGGAAAAAAACGACAAACGACACTGAAACAAAACAAGACAGGTGTGCATCCCTATATCGCTTGATCAGTATATATTGTATTACTGAAATACATTTGCACCATGTGCTCAACCTTATTAGGTTCTGGCGACAAGGCAGTGATGATGACAGGTGTTGACTATGATTCAAAGCAAGATAGCCTCACAGTCTATTACAATTTGTCGCTGTCTACTCATACATGGCCGGACTCTTGGAAAAGGGCAAATGTTAATCCTCTCCCCAAAGTGGACATGCCTTTAGACGACTCAGACTACCATGGTATCAATGTTACTCCCGTTATTGCGCGGTTGTTTGAGAAGGTCGTGTATCGTACGCCAGCACAGTCAGTCATTGAGAACAATCTGAGCCACACCCAATGTGCATACAGACAGGCGGGTAATTGCACAAATGCTTTGCTCGCTATCCAGCACCAGACATACAATTATTTAGACAGTAGTGACTGTAGCGCAGTGCGAATTTTTACTATGGACTTCAGTAAGGCCTTCGATTTTGTGAACCATACTATTTTGTCTGCCAAACTGAAATAGCTACCCCTAAATCCGTACATTATCGATTGGTATCAGAGTTTCCTCTATGCAAGACAACAACGTGTTATCAACTATAATTTTTTAAGACATTGGAAATCTGTCAATAGAGGAACCACACAAGGTAATGTTAGCAGACCGTATCTTTTTATTATATTTTTGAATGACTTGGAGATTTTCTTTAATGGTTGCCTTGTTCTTTTTAAATATGCCGATGATTCCACTATTCTTTCGCCTATCACTAGGAACCGCGACCCGTCTGCCGACTTGGTAGGACAATTCTTAACCTGGTGTAAACACAATAAAATGGTCTGCAACCCTTGTAAATGTAAAGAGCTGGTTGTTAGGAAGAAAAATCAAAATGTACTCTACTCTCCAATTAACAATATTCCTCAATGTAATAGCTTTGTTTTACTAGGAGTAACTCTACAGAGTGACGGGAAATTTAATGAGCATGTAAGAACCAAGCTTGTCAAAGCAAACAAGTGTTTACACGTCCTACGAACACTAAGAAAGGAGCACTACTCTCAGGCAGAGATAGATCACCTTTTTATATCTATTGTTTTACCTAATTTTAGCTATGCGCTTTCAGTCTATGGGGCATCGGAGTCCGATCTTACGGTTATACAAAAATGTTTTTAGACCGACGCCATAAACGCCATTTTATTTCATTTCCAGTTTTTATCAAGAACCTTTTAAATAAACAAGACCGAAACATTTTAAAGAAATTAATTTCAACTGATTGCCACCCCCTGAAAGATATCATTCCTGTCCAGAAGACTTATGTACATAATCTTAGGAAAAAAGGCTGCGTACGCCCGAAAATTAATACACAGCGTTTTATGAACACCTTTGTAAATAGGTTGATTTTTAATCTCCATTTATTGTAATGACGTACTTTTTTAAAAGATATATATATATATATGTAGATATTTTTATCATAGTTTTTTTATCTTTCGTATTATTGTAACATAAGATATGTAGTTTTATCTTTTGATGAAATAAAGACTCATTATTAGTGAGATTTCATTTAAATAAGCCTTCAAAACTGACCTCACTCGTTTTAATCAGTCTTCAAGCCAATAAATAGGTCTGTATTGCCATTTAGCAATATAATCTGATCTGTATGATTACAATTTTATTAAGTTTCATATTTACAATTGTTATATAAAAAATGCACGCATTTGGCGGTAGACAACAGTTCTGTTTCCACAAATCTTACATAAGACATACACCCTTATTTCAGCCAAGGTGAGTCAATGAGGGTCAGCAACCCTCTGGTTATCAAAAAGAAGTAACTAAAGAGATTTCACGAAGCAAAACACTTGGTAGTTTTACGTGATTTAAATATTCAGCTGCTTCAAAATTTGTCACCGTAACATTCTGCCTCGCGTTTACTGGAGCCTAATGGCAAACGTTTCCCACTCTGATTTCTTTTTACCCTCGTTTTCCCCCTTTTTCCTTTTTTGAAAGATCAAGGCAGTTTATGAAAAACAATAACGCTCTTAAAACGTCTCGCTTGCTTGGGGATTAGATAAGAAATGAGGAGGCGATTAATTCTACCCGAAACAGGATTTACTCGCTAAAGGCTTTTCACTTCCTTCTTTATCGAAGGTCGAGTATTCTCAGTTTTCTGCAGGAAATTTACTTTTCATATCGTATTGAAATAGAAAGACGCGTATATAACTACACTAAAATTCAAGGGCCTCGATTCGAGAGAAATTACATCATTGTCAGAGATCAAAAACGAGAAAAAGCACGGCGCGTCATTTCAATCATCACCGAAAATAAACCGCATGCTCATCACAAGACTTATTAGCAAACTATGAAAGTTTTCAACACCCGATCAGTTAGCATCACCATCGAAGTTTTGCTAACTAAGATTCTTTTTTTTCCGAGCACTGAAGTGTTCACTTGTCTCTAAAGTAATCAACGCTTTCAAGCGATAGAATTCGTGGACCCACTCGTTCTGGAAAAGCTCTAAATCGCATTAATCTTTCCTAAGCTTTCTTCGCAAAACATGCGAGGCTTTGGGTACTCCGTCACAACGATTCTTATTCCCAGTTTCCACGGTCTCCGCTAGGAACGCCTGGGACTATGACCCCTTTTGTGTACTAAATACGAAGGAAAAAAAACCGATTTACAGATTATGAGTCTCGCTGTTACGCAAGCGAGACTAAAAAAAGTTCATTAACTTTTCAGATATAAAAGTTATGTTTGTGCTTTAAGTGTCCAGAATGTGTGAGACCACAGCTTATTGTAAGTGCAATGTTTTGTTAACTGTATGAGCCTTGACTGTGCAAGGTACAATAGCATTTCAAATGCTGGGCGTACTGATTAGTAGAAACTTTCCAGTCCACTTTTTCAGTCACAGTGTGTTAACAAAAAAGGAAACAAATTAAAAGAAAATATGATCGTCGCAGTGGTAAATGAAGTTTAAGCAGTTGCAAATAAACCCGAAAAAAAATTCGGGACTTCAACGGGCTGGAACCCACGGCCTCTCTGTTAGCGCTGCAGTGCTCTAACCAATTAAGCTATGAAGATCCATACATTGGGAGCAGGCCAATTTGTTGAGTTCATCTTACCCCGTGAAAGTAGTGTTAAATGCAATTAAAGCAATTGCAAATATCCCCCCCACCCCAACTCAAAACTGGGGCTTCAACGGGATTCGAACCCATGGCCTCTGCGTTAGCGCCGCAGTACTCTAACCAATTGAGCTATGAAGATCCATACATTGGAAGCAGGCCAATTTGTAAAGTTAATCAGATTATAAACGCGTGAAAGGAATGAAACATAGAATGATGATGTGAACTGCGGAAATACAAATTTATATGAAGATATGATCATTGCAGTGGTAAATGCAATTTAAGCAATTGCAAATAAACCCGTAAAAAAAAAATTCGGAACTTCAACGGAAAAACACCTCCAAAACAGCACAGCACTGTTTGTTTCGCTTTTCGTACCGGCTTTCATCAGTGACCATTCTTTTATACAAACTATGATCACAAACAACTGGCTACAGATAACGAGACTTTGTTCTTGAGTTTTCGAGTTCATTGAACTGCCTTGTTTACATTATTAATGTTTCAAACGCTTACCACAATTTTAATAATGAACTTTTCCACTATTTGGGACAGGCTTGAATTAAAAAAGGAACAACTGATAACTGTCTTTATGAATCTGCTCCCTCACTAGCCTCCCACGCAGGCGTTCTTAGGGGTTCGTCACGCGTTCCTGCCCCACTAACAGGAACGCGTGACGAACCCCTAAGAACGTCTGCGTGGGAGGCTACTCCATCACTCGAAGGTGAATATTAACATGACGCTATCAACTGGAGTAACTGAAGAGCTCATCTATTTGAAATGCTTATGCTCATAATGATAACTGACACTTACCGTGCGAGGAGGCACCTTTAAAAACAATCTACACAACGTTCTCCCAGTGGCTGTCAAGGTGTTACGAAATTCAACTTTTGCTACTTCTTGGCCACTGACGGGACGAACTAGCAATTCAACCTTGTATAGCTCATCTGATAACCTGTTTGTAAAAGTAAAAACAATACATCTTTACAGCCTGTTCAGATGACAAAAACTTAAAAAATAGGTTCTGCTGCTGCATAAATGTTGGCTCAAAATAACGACCTGTCAACAGACGACTGGTGTGGATCTAGGATAAATACTGACCGATTTCCTAAATGAGGACCAAAGGCGCACGCTTCCAAGGGGTGGCCGGAGGTATGCTCCCCCGGAAAATTTTCCGGATTTTAACCCCCTAAAGTCCCCCGTTTCCTAGGTTTTTGAGTTTTTCAGACAGGATATTGGCCAGATATCAACTTCGAAAGTGTTAATTTATCAAAAATATATTTATCTATGAAAAATCTGACTGATTTTCGTGAAACTGTGGAAACCAGTGTGGATCTGTGCCTGGAAAATGTCTGGCCAATGAAGATGACCATTTGTCCATGGTCAAGTACATGGCGTTCAAATGAATAACAGAAAAAATAAATTTACAGATGTATTCACAAGTAATTTACGGATGAGACCGTCACATTTTGCAGCTTTTTGATTGCCAATTAGCTGTCTGCTAAAATAAAGGGACGCATAACATACACTAAGACCCCTTTTACACAGGGCTAAACAGTTGTCCACACCGACCCAAAAGGCAAAACCTTTGACTGTGATGTTCCAATGGCATATGTATCAACTGTCCTTGGTATACACATTATTTAATTAAGTACAAAACCAAATTCAATTTATAGCTTTAGATAGTGCTTGTTACGTGGTGTATAAATAAGCTTACCTAAGATTTAGATCGTTGATTTCCTCCTCACTAATTGGGCGTATTCCTCCTGACACAATTACGAATGCTTTATCTTCTCCTGGAATCATGTCTTTTGACGAACTCCCCCAAGCATACCTTATGTCTCTTTTTTCAAGGTCATGTAACACCTCTTGTGTAAGGTGAGCAGGACAACAAATAAGGTGCAAGACGTCTTGAAAATCTGGACCAAGGTAAGCAACAAAACTTGCTGGTCTTGGCTGCAGCATAAGTGGGCGGGTTGGGAAATTCGCCATCACCAGTCTCTCAACAGTGGAGTTTTCTTCATGCCAGTCAACAAGACACTAACACATGCATCTAGCAAAAACAAACACTGAAGTGTGTCAACCAAGATTAATAAAATTACTAACTAGGCTTAAAATTGCACGTTGAATCTTCAAGTATTCTTACAGTGTTGCATACTATAATCAGCTAAAAAATGCCACATTGCTTCTAGGAGTCATGAACACGTTTTTTTCCCCTTCTATTTGCTTTCTTCTAGGATTCTTATAATTACCATTATTTTTATTTTTTTTTTCTCTTTCTCGGAGATATTAGCTTTTACCGGTACACTGTAAATCCGAGGTTAAATAAAGGTGATGTTACGTTATGTGATGTTTCCTCAAAGTTTAAATTTGTGCTAGCCACCAGGGTAATTACAAGCGGCGTGATAGTTAAATCACCTTCTGTAATAAATAAAACGGGAGAAGTAGTGTTTCATCCAATATCTACATGTAGACAACAAGAAGTGATAATAGATCCCAGCAGGGACCCTGTGGAACCTACTTTACCGACACTGTCTCAGTGATTTTGTTACAAATAGTCATGGTGAGTCCTGGGACTCATCTTGTGAAAATCATGAGTCCCAGTCCAGAAGCAATGAGTTCTAGTAAAAAATAACGAGTCTGAAATTGAAAATGCTTGGGCCTTTATGTAACCAGACAGTTAATCTGAAGACACATTCCAAACCTCTGTATTACAGTATACTGAAATTAAAATAAAGTCCTTCCCTTCTATTTTAAAGCACAACAAAGGATTTAAAAAAATGCCATAATAACTGCCACAGAAATTACACGAACGGGATATTTCTACAAATACACATGTGTTCAGATGGATCAATTGATCTGTGCGTCCTACAGGACACATACCAGGATTGATTTTGCATCTTTGGGGATTTTTATTCGTCAAGGACACAGCATGCAGAGGTAACAAAATCACTTCACTCTTATGGTTGTAAAAAGCACAATTCTTTGTTCTGACGGAAAGCTCACATTCCAACGATGGAAAATATGGAGAAATTTACCCATGTCTATTGTCACCTTTTGTGAACACTGAAGTATTGAATGAAGCTATATGTACAATATGTAGAATTACACAGATCAAAGGGGATGGCATCCCCTGATCACCCTCCTTGATCTGCATAATTCTTCATACCCACACAACAATTGTTTTACTAGAAATACGTTATCGCAAATACTTTGCGAGGATGTAAAGGGTCAGCAGTGAGAATAAAGGGAAACAAGCAGACAAAGGGAATAAAATTTGATCAAAAAACAAGACAAAACAACAAGAACTAAACAGGAAAAAATGGACAAAGAAAAAGAAAATCATTTTTCCGGGGATTCAAATCTATGCAGCAAACAACACCTGCACATGAGGTCACCTCTCTGACCACTGGGCCACGCTAGCACTGGTTAATTATAGAGGTAATATCATTATATTTACAGCATTTTTCCCGCCATAAACACAGTTTTAAGAAGGCGTGTGTGGAACTTGAACTCTGGATCTGGAGGTCCCAGATTCAAGCCTTGCCCGATGCTTTGTTTCCTTAGACAAAGAACTTTACTCCACTTTGTCTCTATTCACCTAAGTGTATAAATGGGTACCGGTGACATACTGCTGGGGGGTAACCCTGGGATGTACTAGCATCCTGTCCAGGAGGAAGTAGCAATACTCCTAAGCTAGGCATGCTTCATGCTAATGAAACCGCGATATACTTCAGCCATTTGGGCCCTTTGGCTCGTGTGTGTGTGTTTTATTTTTATACACGCTGCTTGAAGCTGGTGCAGCTGTATTAATTTATCATGAACTCTAAGATACATTTAAGGAAAATTATCTTAAACTCATATTTCAAAGCCATTTTACATCATTTTGGTTTTAATTTACTCTCAGGTGCAACTATTCTGGACAAATCAATTCTTAGTAACATTTTGGCATGGTTTCCAATTAAAAAGGCCACTTAACATTTGGAATTCCAAATTTAACTTGACAACAAAGAGTTGTGCAAAAATCACTTGGAGTTTCAACTACATGTAATAGCTAATGATTTATTTTCTCACTCTTCGGAACAATAGTTATTGTTTATTTGTTTTTTTTAGTCACTCACATAACATAAAAATAAAATGTTACAAAAGGTGTTAATTAAAAAATAAGTTGATGTTCCATTATTATTATTATTATTATTATTATTATTATTATTATTATTATGTTACAAGAAAGCCTAAAGAAGCTAGGAGCTTACAGCTGTACATTAATAGGCTTCATTATTTAAGCTAGATTACAAAGGTTTACTTGATATCAGAGGGTGCAGAAAACAAAAAACTTAAGCGACAGAAACACTATCAGTGAGATAATTTTTCACATTTTTTTTTTTTTTGAAAAAACAAATATGGAAGAAGCACTGGTTAGTGTAATTGGCAAAGCATTCCAGATTTTTGGTCCTCTATAAAGGATACTGACCTGCTTAATATTAGTTCTACAAAAATGACGTCTATACTGAGAGGTTAGTTGAGTGAACCTGGTTACTACTTAAAAAGAGGTTAGGAAAGCTACAAGGCAGAAGATTTTGGTGATAGGAATGTATAAATGTAGCAGCAGAAAAAGAATTAATGCTATATATGTCAAGGACTTTTAAGTTGGCTAAATAATAGGATGGTATTTGCTAGATAGTGAGCTTTTGACATAAGCCACACTATGCGCTTTTGCAAAAGATAAGTACAGTTTAGATTAGAGCTTTTGATCCACGACAAGGCAGTATCCTGAATACCATAGTGTTGCAGTTTGTGGCACAATATTTTATGATTAATGGTATCAAACACCTTAGATAGATCTAAGAAGATGCCTAAGGTTGATTCATTTCTGTCGATAGCTGAAGATATATTACTAATTAAATCAATTAAAGCTAGTGTACTGGAATGATTATTAAGGAATACAAATTGTTTCGAGTATAAGGTATTATGCAAGTTTAAAAATTCAGTCAGTCGGTTGAACATGACTTTATCAAAAAGTTTGGAAAAAGCTGGAAGCATTGATATTGGCCGGTAGTTACTTAGCCTGTGAGTAAGCTCTTCGGGGCACTCTGGCGGCAGGGCGGGAAAAGGAAGGAGAGCTTGCAACAACGTCTCTGGAATTTTAATATCTGAATCGAAAAAGTCAATGCAAAATGCTGATTGACGGAGATGATAATTAGTAATGACGTCATTACCCTTGGCTCGTGTTTTAATGTTTGTTTACATTTGCGTTCGTTTCTGCTCCATGCTGATTACTGGAAATCTGACAGTTCAGTCAATGGGGAGCCACAGGGGAATTAGAGGTGGAATTCAAACTCCAGAGGCACAGTTGCAAACTCTCCTTTCTTTTCCCGCTCCACCCCCAGAGTGCCCCGGAGACTGAGCTTGCTCGCAGGCTAGTAAGTTACTAAAAAGTGTTGCATCATCTTACTTAAAAACCAGAATTACTTTAGCAATTTTGTTAGGTGAAAATACCTCGCAGCTGAACATGCTAAAAAGCCATCCCCCACTCCAAGGAGGGTTGTCACTCGATTGGGCTCATAGTGCCTGTTAAATCCTTCAATTGCTTCATGAAGGGTTCTCTTAGAAATGTTTAGAGAAATTGCTTGAAATTCAGTATCACATTTGCCATTTTGTGGGACTCTTGGGGCCAAGTACTAACCAGGCCTTGATACTTCAAGTAAGCCTAGCTGTCACAATCCTGATGTGTATGGATCTTGATGTAAACTAATCTTAACACTGATATATGAAACTTGAAATATGTAAGTAAATCTTGATGTGTATACAGTGTAAGTAAATCTTTACGTATATAAAACTATCTTGATATATTGTTCCTTTTGGACAAGCATACAATTGCCAAGATTCTATATTAAACATAAAAATCATACAGATAAAATACAGTTGTGGTTGTGGTCAAAGAAATAATAAAAACTGACCTTTCTTAAATTAGCCATTAAGACAATCATACATGGCTTGAATCAACTTTTAATATTTTTATAAACATGTGTAGTTCATTGTTAAATACATGTACACTTGTGAGAAGGTTTCAATGGTAACTAAAGCAAACTGATTTTGAAAAAATAACTGACAAGCTCTCATGGAATAGAAAAGTCAGCTTTCAAGGGCCAAGTGATAGCAAGCATGACCATTAACAAATGTCTGCAAAATGTAAGAAGAGCTGAAAGTTTCCAGCTGTTTCAACAGGTTTGCAAAAGAAACAGTGCATGGAGAAGAAAAAGGAATCATATTTATGCTATAGTGATAGCAATACATTACCTCAAACCCTCTATTTTTCACAGGCACAAAACATTGCCTTCCACCATTTTAGGCAGTCCATAAAATAAATATGGTGAAATTTGCTTCCCATATTTACCGTAAATTTGACCTCTATTCAACAGTCAACTCTTTTAAGCAAACATGGTCACCGTTTAGATTTCCCAAATAGCTAATTTTATAGTAATTTACCTCTGTTTAATGGTCGCCTTGCTACATAGTGATCCATACATGGCGAATGGTCACTAAGAACTTTTGCCATCGCTGGGCAATATCAGTGACTATGCTTCACCAAATTAAGCTATGCAAGCCCAAACCGCAGACGACAAATTAACTATATTGAATTTTTCTCTTCATGTTGAATGAGATTTTAAAAATAGTCAGGTCTGTTAAGGTCAGGATCGTTACAGATTTGACAAAAGCACCAAACTTTGCACAGCGATAGCTTATTGCAGTAACATGAATATTAGAGGGGGTGCCCAATGCAAATATGCCACTGAAGCGTGTTAAACAGGATTTAATTATTGCTGCTGGGGTCCCTGTGGTGTTTTGATTGAAAATTGTTATTTAATACCTTAAATCACTCAGAATACTCTTCTCATGTTGTAAACAACAATTTTACTTGAACATCTGGCATTCCCATCCATTATTAGCTTATTGATTGTATAATAAAGTTGATTATTACTGTGCCCTTGAAGCAAGTCCACAGTCCGCCCACATTTTCATAAGTCATTTCTAAGATAGCCTCGTCTTTGCAT